ACCCCCCCCCCCCCCCCCCCCCCCCCTGTGTACGCGCCTGCCTGACATAAATTCAAATTAACAAAAGAAACAACCAGGTGAACACAATTTGCATCCCCCACGTGTTTCCGGCTCACTTGCTTATCATAGACTTTTCAGATTTATACCCCTCCTGGATTTGCCGCTATAAAAGTCATTCCATAAAACCATTATTGTGTTACTACTAACTGAAACATGACCAGCATGCGCAAGCTCATGTGACTTGGCTATCGCTTGGCGGAAGCAAAAAATGTAAATTATATCTCATCAATCATGGCCATCTCGATTAAAATGCAATGAGCACTGTACTTCAAGCAAGACACGGTGTTCATATTACCAAGGTCATGGATCTTATTTTTTTTCTTCCTCAGTTCATCTAGTATGTGCATTATTATTGTATGAAAATGCTGAAAATGTATGGTTCTGTCTAATTACCCCATCCCGACCCCCATGTATTTGATATAGATGTGCGTCTCATTTCCCTATGGATACCTCTTCAATCATGGAACTTGTCGACAGGGAGTTTTAAGTAATTTTTAAACAAGGCAAACTTTGGCATCTCATACGCACATAGTGGCGCGAAAAGCACAGCCCCTCTCTTTCTTCTTCTTCGCTGTAGTACAGGCCACCGTCGGGTGTATTCGAGGAACAAAAAAGAAGAGGTAGAAAGGCAAAGGGGGAATCCAACGTGAAAATAATATAATATCCTCTCCTTATTTAATGTCTAATTTAATTCAAATCAATTCCACGTCTTAATGTCTAAACGTTAGCCTTTTATTTACATATTGAAATACTAACATATATATTTGAAGCTCATAATAATGAATACAGTATAGCAACCCCTTACACGAGCAAAACATGTTTTGGTGAATGGTACACTTAAATTAGCGTATCTATTAACGCAATGAAAAGGACCCCTCTACCTTATCATATGTGTAGGCATATAACCAATAATTTAGTGGATAGCTGTGGGGTTTTCGTGTGAAGCTAACCAATTTTTCCTATTTGCAAAATTATTAAATTTGGTTGACATTGTTAACGTTATATCATTTATTCATACATGTCATGTATCCAGTGTTCAGCTTTCTCGTAAACAATCAAAGTGTATTAATTAAAGAGCCATTTAATGTAAATATGTACATAACAATTTTGGTATATCAGGTTATAAAAAATGTACGTTTTCAATCATTATTGTCTTTCTTTTAAATACGTGGTTATCATCTGTTCTTTATTTTTTTTATTTTTTTTTTCATGTATTTTCTACTTAAATTGAAAATTCCATTTACATATTTTTTGTGAATGATCAAGGATAATTCTTGAATGATCAGTTTTTTCATTAGGATACCAATAAATTTGTATTTGACCTGTTTATACGTTTGTGTAATTATCCATTTGGTTTTTGCTGCTGTTATTTGTTTTATTCTTACCAAACATGGCCTCATGGAAAAGCACCAAATCGGTGATATGTGCCACCCTGTATAAAATTAATATCAGAAATTAAAAATAAATATACAAAATGTATCACGATTGCGGGGTGTCAAAATGGCATCAATTACATTCTGAAGACTCGTCCAAATCCCTGATAAAGCGCGAGTCACACTGCAACGACCTTTTTCTAAGTTTCCTTTTGCTTTTATTGTCCGTTTCTTTTTTACCATTTGAAAAAGCAATTTGTGAATTAGGTTTTATTTAAAATGATCGCCGCTTGATGTGTCAATGATATAGATTTTCAAGTGTGAATCCTTAGCAGTTTGCGGGAGGATACATGAAGCACCGTCTCAAGAGAAATTCGATTATCGATACCTTCTCAGAAGATACTTGTCGAAAGCCTTGCAAGCAGCTTTGTTGCTAGCCGTACATCATGTATCTTGAAACAAAAGAACGAAATATGTCGAGAAGCAGGAATGTCATTCAAATATTTCAAGTATACTCGAAACTGACTATAACGTCTTCAAGTGTGCATCTCAAGATCGGTGCTTGTAAGTATGGAGAAATTTGTGTTAGTTAATATCGGCACTTCCAAACTACTTGCACTAATCCCCCCCCCCCCCCTTCCCCACTCTGGGATCGGAGGGACCGCATTCAAGTTCCCAAAATCTCCGGTTAAGGGTTACTTTTAAATGCAACAAAGTCCGGCTCGTATTGACTTTACACACCGGAGATAGGAGGGGGGTTCCAAAGCGAAGGAACATGCATACGCGTACCCTAAGTAACACTGAGTGGGGGGGGGGGGGGGGGTGGGTGGGACTAAACCACATGCATGGAATATTTAATTCTGATGTATATCATGATATTGGCAACAACTCCACTCGCGTTTAGACATTTACACAACAATAATTCGACAAGTAGCCCATTTAACTATGCTTTACCCGATAAAGTAGCAAGTAGGCAATTGTGTTTTATTTTAATATAACCAAATTCTGGATTGTCTTACTAACCTACTTAAAAGCAATTCAGAAGTTTAGAACTTGAAACTTTAACTTAAGAGGTAGGCTACCTATCCATTGAGACTCAAGAAATGGCATCAATTGATATGTTAACATATCTATAACTTGTAAATTGATAAGATATTGATTAATTTCTAAAGGACTGTAATTAGTGTTATTGGTCATATTTTTATATAGGCCTATAGTTATTTTAATAGTTGATTAGCTTTTCAGCTTTCACGGGTCATCCTATCCTAAGTTATCATTTTTATTATTGTTTTATTTTCATTTTATGATATCGTTTCACTCTGTGTATTTATGTTACATTGAACTTGACTAATAACTCAAATCAAATCAACAAAAACAAATCTTCTGTTAGAAGCATAGGAATACGTATCTCCTCGCGCGACCCGTTTGGCGCGGTCAACACATATCCGTGCATCTAAAGGCTCCTTGGTGGCGTCACTACCAATTCCCGACCAATTCCTTACAAGCAGTTTATATTACGACTGAATTATACAAAATTACTAGTAAATAGGTTGTTCTGCATTGATTAACATTTCCAGTACCATATTGATATTGCGTCTCGCGGCTCACTCACAATGCCAGCCAGTCTGATATTCCATTTAAAGCCGCGATTTCTTCTAATGCCCCTAAACATGTAACCTAAAACTACAAGATAATTCTCTAGCTTTCCAGTCGAGCCTTAGAATATATTTAATTCAAATGTGTTCTGTCTGCATTTTGTCTCGCTGCCGTGAATAATAGAATATAAAACTGTCAATGGCCTTGGCATATTCGTTATTAGGCAACTCCCACCCTAATGCTCTTGTGGACTAACATTTTTCATCATTCATTATTACACGTATAATAAACAACCAAAAAAGCTCTCTTTATTTTCAACATCTGTTTGCCTGTCATTACACTTCTAGTACCGGTACATTGCTTGAAAAAAACGAATTGCTGAAAAGTGCAACATGACGTTTGCAATCATATTGTGCAGACGTTGCGATCAACGTAAGAGTCGCTAATGTATTCTTCTAACGGAGAAAAATACAACTATGTGGTACAAGGGTCTTAAAATCAGACGACCTAGGCGTATTTTTCGCAACCCCTAACAGTCGATATAATTCCAAATAGAGGCAACTACCAGTTATCAAGAGGGGTTTTTATTTGGTATTATCTCTTGTTTACCATAGGATTTACATAATTGTATATGTTCAGCCTGCAAAAGGGACAGACTACCTTTCAGATTTTTACTTTAGAAAATCAGTATTTAATGTTTGAAAGCAAGACACTGATGTAAATGTAAACCCATGTGCTATATACTATTCCATTCGCCATTCCAAAGAATCGTATAAGAGACACAATGGATTTGTTTTAGCTCTAAAACCTACATGACTAAAGAGAGGTGTAGAGAAAACAAAAGAAAACAGAATTAAGAAAATAAACTAAAACAACAGATAAAATCATGGCAATAAAGGACAAGAAATTAGGTGTTCAGTGCCTGGTAAGAAAGTCATTGAATATTTATTTATTTCTACAAATGAGCAAATTACTTCTGTGTAAACAATACATTTGTCGACCATTGTGCCAAACGTGTCTTTATCATTATGTATAGTTTACTTAAAATCCCAATTCATACTTTATCAACTCCTTATATGCCACACAAATAATCTTCTTGTGCTACAATTAGGCCACATTGGTACATTATGGGGGAAATATACCAAAGGACTCAAGATCATTTAACTCTTTTAATGCAACATTGTATTTATCATGGGGGAGATATACCGAAGGCCTCAGGATCAATTAACTATTTAAATGCAACAATGCATTTATTATGGGGGAGATATACCAAAGGACTCAAGATCAATTAACTGTTTAAATGTGAGATTATTAAATACGGGTATACAGCGTTAACAGGATTGTCATGGAGCTAATCATGACTGGAAATGGGTCATTTTGCAAACATCTATTGTGTGGGACAAAGCCATCCTTCTGCTGATTGGTGGCGATTTTTTTGTGCAAAATTGCACATGTGGCAAATAAGTGACCGAGCAGAGAGGTGAACAAAGCAATGCAAGTGTTAACCCATGAATAGCTAGCCTGATTGGAAAGTGATATGTCATAAATGAAAATGAGTTGCTTCCAATGGTTATATTGTAGGGCATACTATTAGGTCTCCAGTTTCATACACTGCTGTATATTGGGCTACATGTATAACTGTCAAAACATTCTTTTGTTCTGCTCCAGTAATGATGGAAAATAGAAGCCTTGGTTTTGTCCATAAAAAAAAAAAGACCCATGCAAAGCAAGAAAGAAGACATGAAACCTGGGGGGGGGGGGGTGTTTCACAAAGATCCTAAGTTGAACTTATCACTAAGTTGGACCTAACGATTATGGAAAGCCGTTAGCATTTTTGAAAACATTTTGTAAAAGATATTTTAAAAGGCATTAAATGTTGATTCAAATCATTCACATTTTCTATTATAATGGGAGATTTCATGTTCTTGATGTGGAATTCATAAAAAGGCTGAAATACTTGAATTTGTGCTTTACAATATATTTCATTTTAAGGCTACAAATGGCTCTCCTTAATTTTTAAGTCCAACTTAGAGTTAAGTTTGACTTGGGATCTACGTGAAACACTCCCCTGGTTGCATATGTGCAAATAAATCCATGATATTGCATTGAGATCACAGTTACAGCTCTTGATATCTGTTCTTACATTTAGCAGGTTCAAAGAAACAAATACTGAGTAACAATCAAAATGGCCTTCAGATATCTTCGCTGGAAACGCAGCTTCAATAACAGTGCTAAGACGGTGCAAGCAAATTTGAATGAACTACCAGAGAACCTGTTTAGAGTCTACGTGTACAACCAAGAGCTGGGTCTTGTGTGTGTGTAACACTAATGGATTGTTTACAGACGTGCATCAATCAGATATGATTAATTATTCATGTCTTGGAGCGACCTTTCATGTCATCATCTGAAAGACGCGACTCAGTTTTGAGACAGGGTCTGCCTGAGTCAGCTTGTAGGCGAAGACAGAATGTGCAAGCTAAACTGGGAAACCTCTCTACATGCTAAACAATACCTGTCCTAAGCTCCTGAAACCAATTGATGCATCTGATTGGCTGAGGCTAAGAGCAAATTGTCACAGAATGTTGGAACTTGTTACATGTACTAATGAAAACGGTCCTTGATCGCAAATGGGCTTTTCCACAATATTTCAGGAATGTGTTTGTTGAATTGGAAACCCCTTACATTGACTGAACAGTCAGAGGAAACACAATTATTATTCATAACAAATAGGTAATCGGGATAAGCAAATTGAATAATATTTAAAGAGATTTGCATGGTTAATAGCAGGTACATAATGAGATTTTCATATGATTTGAAGGCATTAATTCTCATAACCAAGTACCTTGAAGAGGACTTCAAGTCATCGGTCCCATGCTTGCCTACTTACAAGAATATACTGTACATGTTTTCTTAGCAGTCAGAAAAAATACCAATCTTTGAGTGTTGTGTTATAAGTTCTGAAAGTAACACGAGTGTACGGTGTACAAATGACAAAAATACTACATCCTTTTATACAGATTCGACTGGCAAGTAGTACCAGTGTATCAAGAGTTCCCTGAAAACATTCAAACAATAAATAAAGGGAAACTTGCTTTAGTTACCACCTGCATAGGAAGACTACCTGTCTGTTAAAGCCTATCTGCACTAGTTTGGCCAGAAGGGATTAGACCTCCCTGCATGGTCACTGACAGGTGGTTATCTCAGTCATCAAATCAGCTCTCAATTAACATAAGAAAAAGGGGACCATGGGGGACCAACGGTCACCGCATAGGCATTGTTTGCTTTGTAGAGGGCACCAGTAGCTATAAGTAGTGCAGTGGGGCTTTAAGACAACAGGTTCAGTTTCCCTTGAATTTCATTCTTATTGAAACATATACTAGAGAAACCTGTACATAACTGCTACCTGCCTACAAAGGCCACTTTTCTTTGCTCCTTTGGTCGGACTTTATATAAAGATTTGATTGTACCTACATTGCACGTGGTACAAGCACATCAACAGTTTCCTGAAAACATTAGAAAAATCTCAGCCTTCCCCAATGGTTGGGTTAGCTAGAAAAGCCACCATCATCTTTACAACATCCTCGTTAAAATCCACCACCTGATCCTCCTCCACGGCTGAGAAGAGAGGAACGTCCCGGACCTGCCAGCAGACGTTGCGGAGGTCGTTGCCCTCTCCCATGAGGTCGTCCAATCTGAGTGTGTTAAGCTGGTAGCAGTAGAAGGAGAAGTACTTGCCGTCAGTGACGATAGTCTGGCAGGTCAGGGGGCGTGGGATGTCTTTGTAGCAGCAGTGCTCTGCAAGATGAAAAACAATTATAACAATAATATTCAAGGTTTATATACTAAAAGATGTCTATTGACTCTACACACTATACAGAAGCACTATTACCATGGTAATCAGATTCCTGTCAATTGGACAAACAAAAAAGAGATATATAATACTACATTATAAATAGTCAAAAATTAAAAAGTATTGTGCACCCCTTTCCCAGTTTTGAACCCAAAATTGTAATTCTTTAATCCACAAGTAACAAAGAAAATCTGATCACCTATTTTTCTTTCTTTCTTTTTCTTTGTTCGCTTGTTAGATGGTTTTAAATAAAGCAATAGCTAAAAGACAAGATATCCTCCCCCGTCAGAATTCTTAAAGGATGTGTGCCCCCCCCCCCCCACAAAAACCTAGATCCATCCTGGCTGTTCTAAAGCCTAAGAATGTCAACAGAATCTCCTTACGTTGATAGAGAGCAAGAGCATTTAGCCATGCAAAGGAGGTGGAGATTCCTTGGCCTTGCAGAATATCTGGAAGAATGCTTTTTTCCTCCACCTTACTCCTCCTTTCTTCAGTAAGATAGAGCTGGGTATGGGCGTTCAGGTGGCCCGCACCGTGCTTGAAACCTGGAAGAAGAAGAATGTAAACATGTTTTATGTGACAGTCTCCGAAATAGACTACTTGAGAGTTGAGACTCAACATTGTACCTCTTAATTTACATTTAATTATTGATATAGTTTGGGGACAAGCCTTTGATAGGCCTTTGGCCTTGTTTGTCCCCCCACATTTTGATACTTCTGTTCTGTTGTGTTATTTGTTTAAATTGACTTTGTATCGTAAATGTTCGTTATCTTGATTTTTATCAGAATGTGAAAAAATAAAAAAAATAAAAATTGAAGTTGGACATGGCATCTACTTTACAAAGTTCAGTGTTTCAGAGTCATGGCTTTTGTTGTTCTGAAAGAAGGGAAATACAGGGCAAGATAAGGTCCGTATGAGATAATGCGTTTTTGAAAAGACGAGAATCAAAGGGGGGGGGGTGCAGTTCCTGATGCTGTAGTAAATCGTAAAATTTGCAACTTTTTAGTCTGTCTGACATGAGTGATTTTGGTTTCTCAAGCATGATACATACTACTTGATTTAAAGACGTATTTAAAAAACGAGCCTAGCGGGTTGTCACAAACTTAGGTTTGGGTCGTTTTTTGAGAAACAATTCCAAGGCCTGAATTTTGGTAAAGTGTAGAGAGACAGCTGGGCAAGTTTGAGGATGCTAATAATACTTTAACCCTTTCCATGACACTTGCACATTTTAGAGCCAAAATGATATCTATCTACATACACATGTTTCTATTATAATGGGGAATATGGTTTCTCTTTCTTCTTGAAATTTAACAAGGGAAACGCTCTCGGCGGTCTCGCCTGCATAACGCAATTCGATATGATGAAAAATTGAGGTTGGAACATTATTTATAGGCAGGGTGGCCCATTTGCAAGCCCCAAATAATGAAATCCTCTGAATATAATCAGCATTTTCATATTGACTAAGAATCATGAACAAATAACAAAAATTAATTATTTATGCTCATATTAAGTTGTGAAATCATAATCCAAGTCTACTGACCTAAAATGACCTTTGACCTTGTGACCTGGAATTTGTGTCATATGATTTGGGATACTTGATAACCCTTGCAAAATGCATACAAGTTTCATGGAATTTGAACAAACAAATTTGTAAAAAATCTTGATGTTGATGCCATTTTGTTGATGTAATTTTGTTGACCTAAAACGAACTTTGACCTTAACTTAGTGACCTGAAATACTACTCACATGATTGGGGACACTTGATAACCATATAGTCCAAGTTTCATTGACTAAGAACTTAAAAATTCAAAATTATATCAAAAATTCAAAAACTTAATTTTCGATGATGATACCACAACATAGTCCAAGTCTGTTGACCTGAAATGACCTTTGACCTTGACTTTGTGACCTGAAATTCTACTCACATGAATGGGGATACTTGATAACTCTATAGTCCAAGTTTCACTGACTAAGAACTTATACTTTCAAAATTATATCAACAATTCAAAAACTTAACCTAAGGTTAAGTTTCTGATGTTGACGCCATCACCGCCGCCGCCGCCGTCACCGCTTTTTTGCTACGCAGGCGAGACAAAAACAGTTACTTCAGGAATTGTAAAATTTGATATCTTGGAATAGAAAAGGGTAGCACAACTAACAAGCGCAGGATTTGCATTTGGATAAATGACTGATTTATAAGTCTTATGTAAGGCTTACAATTCAAAAACTTTGAAACAAAGCTGTAGAAAAGACTTCTCAAAATAAATTCTGAAACAAAATATGAAGTAGGCAAGCAGTGGTTTATTTATAACCATGTATGATTTGCACACTGATAATAACAAAATTAAAAAATACTGAGTCCTGCAGTGTGTGAGCGAATTGTGAAAAATTGCATCATGGATATTTAAGCGTGTAAGACTATTCATAATTTCTTCAAAGATATTTACCTGGGAAGCATACTGCATTTCCACTCTGCTTGAAAATACTGATTGTGTTTGGGTCGTACGGCCAGTCTGCTATGGATCCCTGGCATAAGTCTGCATCTTGTTCCACAAACTAAGATGGAAATAAGTAGAGAGACAACAAACATATAAATGAGTATTAATATCTTTAATTAACATAATTGAGAAATTAAATATGATTTACAAAATAAAAAACACAGCCTGTTGCAGACATAAGCAAATGTGCAATATGTAAAATATATTATTTGCATTGAAAACAACAAATATAGTCTATTAAAAATCTAAATCTAGTACATTTTAACTACACAGAACAATGTCAAAATAACAAAAATCAAGAAAAATAAATTATAACCACTTGAACATCAGTCATTGTACTATAGATATGTACAAAGCCTAATTTTGTTTTTAATATCTGTAAAAGGAGTACTGATTCAACCTACAAACAACAACATACCAACAAACATAGAAATGAGGAAGAATACATGTATGAGCATAAATGTTCCAACAGTTCCATTCATAATCATCAACAAAAGTAAAAACTGCAATATGATTGGTTGATTCATTGTATAAAAACTTGTATTTGTAATGACTAATGTATTGCTTTAAAAATCTTTTCAAATTGAATTAAAACAAATCACAAACATGACACCCAGGAAGTCCAATCCTGAAAATGAATAATCTCTTAAAATTATAGGTCCACATAATTTGAAGAGACATCACTAGACTAAATAAGCTTATGAGTCACCTCTCTTAGTGGCCGCTTTGTTCGGACTGTTAGAAGAGGCTTGCCAAGAAACTGATAAAATCTGTGCGATCCTCTTTGCCAGAAGGATTGCATTTCCACATCAAAGTCTACATCTGCCTCCATTAGATGTTTGTTAGATGCTGCCAGGTAAGGAATAATACAACCAATCAAGTTCTTGCACAATTGGTTTCCCACATCTCTGTCTCTCCATACGGTATTCTGTTTGTGTCTGTATGTCATCGCATGATCATTCAAGAGAACGTTACGTGCAATATCCGATACACTATTTGTCAGATTCTGCACCTCTTCACTTTCAATCCATGATTCTATGGTATCAGGAAACCCTTCAACGACTTCAGTCTTCGTAATGTGTTTATAAAAGTCGACGAAACCCGGATGATAAGAATAAGGGTGAATCTTGTAATTCCACGTGTACTTCTTGGTCAGAGCGTAGATCATCTCCGCCGGAGTTTCGGCGGCGAGTACTGGCTCCGAGGCGATGCGAATCAACTCTCCTTTACTGTCTTTTGGAGGGGGTATAGGTGGATATTGTGGTTCATTTGACTCGGCAACGGCGGTCTCAGATGAAAAGTTTAGCTTTTTTGTCACAAATTGTGGCAAAATCCATTGGAATCTTGATAATTTCGATGCACATGTAGCAGCAGAAAGTCGCAAGGGCGCTGCCATCTTGAAAATGTTGCCAAATTTAAAGCTGTACTTCATAATTTCATCAAAGAAAAAACAATTTGTTCATATATCTAATTTAAAATCTAATTAAAATAATAATTTAAGTGAAAAAATAATATTTTAAATCTGTTAAATATTTTATTTAGAAAATTTAGATAAAAACATGAATTTGTATTAAAACACGCCGTTTTACATATAGCGTGTACATGTATTGATCAGGTGAACTTACTGAGCTGAGGTTAGAAGGGGGAGTGTCCAACGTCCATTAACTTGCTGTACTGTAGGCCTAGTGTAACTGTAAAGTTAGGTTTCTGTGAAAATGGAGGAAAGCAGTACGGATCAACCACCTGTTCTTTGTGAGACCCCTCAATCTCAAAAGAAAAGGTAGGTAGAATTATGAACTGACATTATGACTGACTGTTGTTACTGTAAAACTGTACTGACTCTCTTGAGTCTCTAAAGTCTAATCAACTTCGACTTCAAGTTCAAACACATGCAATTTACAACATTCAAATTAAGTCAGACTCATCAAAGTCAAACTTCAAGTTCAAAGACGAAGACAGAAATGTGTGAACTGAGTTGTTTATTAACTTCTTCTTATTATTGTTATTTTTGATTTTTTTTTAATTTTTTATTTTTTACGTGGTTGTTTTAGTTGGTAGGCCTAGATCTATCTAGTCTAGACCTTCTTCTTCTTCGCTATAAGTACAGGCCACCGTCGGGTGTATTCTCGTACTGATTGTAGGTGCTGTGCAGGTGTATATATACATGTAGTGTCTCAGTAAAAGGTCTACAATGAGCTATGTGCAGTTAAAAAGACATCCGTAGCTTAACGGAGCTGGATCTTGAGCACCTCTCTCTTAAAGCTTAGCAGAGAGGTACAGGTGACAATAATTATTTGATAAACGTGTGTATGATATAGACGCTGAGTTTTGCGTACTGTATATCATACACACGCATGACGCATCCTAAGGGGCACACATAGAGGTTTATCAAATAATTATTGTCAATAATTAATAATAATAATATTTATCACTTGTCTTGTCAACATGTGAATTGTTATGCTTTGCTTTTTAATAATGAACAGATCCAATTTGAAAAAAGTAACTAGATGATGATCTAATTCTGATGCTTTCCTTATTTATTCATTTAATTATTTCTTAATCATATCTTAATTGTTTCCTTTTTTTAAAATGTATTCTTTATTTATTGACGGATTTAATTTTCTAGAATGCATGGGGCCATCAGAATTACTTATGAGGATTATTTTTTTATATTGTTACTCTATATTATAACTCTTTAAAGTTACATTTCCCATTGGTTTTTTTCCAAAGAAGTAAATGGGCCTATTGTCAGATGAATTCTACACACAGATTTTTGATAGCCCTAAAATTAAATATAATGAAGAGATAGAGAAGATAACGATGTCCAAATATTTTTGTTTTGTTGGTAGTATTCAGAAGTCATGTAGATTCTGTAGTATAGGTTGTTATATCGGCCTTCAGAACAGTATGAAAACACCTAATTTTTAATTGATATGTTACATCAGTAATTTATTATTCAATTTCAATTTTAAACGGTCAATCAAGAGACTTGAAAAAAATATTGATGATGATAAAAGAGTAATAATATTGATAATAACAACAAATGTTGGTAGTAGTAGTAGTAGTAGTAGAAATGATAATTATATTTGTTGTTTCTGTTAAAATCAGCATAATTATAGAGACAATTTTTTTTAAACAAATTTGAATTTGTGTAAAGGGGAACTCTGATAGTGCTCACCACCCACCACCCACCCCCACCCAAATTTTCTTTGAATAAATTGATGAGCTGCTCTGTCTTTGTGGTTTTGTAGTGTTACGGTTCAATCTGATACACATTTATTTTTATTTTGTTGTATTGTTTGTTTGTTTATTCATGTGTGTGTGCAATGGCATACGCAAAATCATTATTATTTTTTTTTTTTATTTCCAAAAATGTCGCAACGACTAACAAAAAAATTGAAATGACTCAGGGGAGGGGGGGGGTAAGGTCACTTTTGGGGGATCACCCTTTGGTACAAACAAATAATTTTTTTTTTTTTTTTTTTTTTTTTTTTTTTTTTTAATCAAAAAAAAAATGAGGGGGGGGGGGGGGGGGGTTTCAACAAAAATCACACATATAAAAAAAATTGAGGGGGGGGAGTTCAACCTCCAAAACCCCTGCTGCGTATGCACCTGTGTGTGTGTATGTGTGTGGTATTGTGTCCAATATTTTTAAATTGTATCCTTATTTGCAGAATCGATGACTTATGTGCGAGCTTTGAGACCAAGTACAAGAAGAAGCCGTTATTTGTGGCAAGAGCTTCTGGAAGAGTGAACCTGATAGGTAAGATGTTCTGCAGGTTAACCCTTAAGCAACTAAACCGCCTAAAACCGCCCCTCCTTTTACTCACTGAACCGCCCGAAACCGCCTGTTCGTTTTCGTCTGTTTTCAACAAGCTATAGTATCAGTTCTAGGGTCTACCGTGATGTTATACATGCGTAACTCTTACGATGTCAACAGTAGAATTCTGCATAGAAAAATTGCGCATGTTTCATATTGTTCAGAACAATGTCAAAATGAGAGCAATTTTGCAACATCTTCCAGTGAGTAGTAATATAGGCCATTTTTACCAAATCTCTAGTTGCTAATGGGTTTATACAGTCAAATTTGTATTAGTGGCCACTGGCCACCTCTCTATAAAAGTCATCTGTCTACATGTTTTTTAATGTTATTTACCTAGTGTCTCTCACTCTCCAAAAAAGCAAAAATACCAAAGAAAAGAATTTATTATACTTGTCTAGAAAGGCTACTGGGCAATTCCACGGTAACGGAAGGACACTCAGACAAGATTTTTGAACTTCAGGTTCATACTAAAAGAAATGTTTTATTAGTATGTATTAAACTATGGGGAACAAAATGTGTTTCAGTCAAGTGGAAAGCTTCATCAACTTCACAAAGTTTGGATAAACACTAATTAACTGGAAAAACCATGTCCATTTTTATGTCCTTCCGTTACCGAGATAATTAATATGCACATTCTTAAACTACTTAACTATAATGACAATTTTTTTGGGGAGAATTAAAGGCACTTATATAGTTATTATATCTGTACTGTTTCACATCTTATACTAATAAAACAGTTCTTTTAGTATGAACCTGAAGTTCAAAAATCTTGTCTGAGTGTCCTTCCGTTACCGTGGAATTGCCCTACTTGTACAGTGGCCGCTTCTCTGCTTAGTCAATGAATGAGGAATGAATGAACAAAGGAATTTATTAATTAATATATTTATTTATTCATTTATTTATTTATATATTTATCATTTGGTGATTAAGTGATTGAGATAGATAAATAAATTGATAAACATATGAAATTTTTGTTATCGCTGTTAATTATATCTATTTCTATATGTAGATATATTTTTTGCATTTTATATCAGGGGAACACATCGACTACTGTGGCTACTCTGTGCTGCCAATGGCGATAGAACAGGACATCATCATGGCTGTAGCAACAAATGACAATACTGAGCTACACTTGAGCAACATAAATCTTAAGTTCAAGTAATGACTCCTGTCAAATACATTTTGTTCTTGTGTCTTAATTTGTTGTTTATACAAACCGGTATGTGTTAATGAGCTTTTTACCATAATCTTTATTACTACCGTATTTATGTCATCTTTAGCCTCTACTGATTATGTGAAAAGAAAGGTCCTATGTTTAGGAAAGTTACCATCTGTGCACATTAGAACACACTGCACTATTTGAATAAGATTAAGGGGAAGCGCCGGTGTAGTGGTACACCAGCACATCCCTGTCAGCTATTCAGGGAGTTGAGACCCAGTGGGCATCTAGTGGTAACATTTGGATTTGGATTCAGGCATGTGATGAGAGATAATTCATAATTATGATAATAAATCTTTGGTTAACTTTCAACCCAATTGCTGTATACTCCACAGTGACTTTGTGACCAGCGTGACATCATTCAGCATCGTCCAGTCCAAACCGGAGTGGCACAACTACATCCTGTGTGGAATCCGAGGCATCATCGAGAGGGCCGGGATGACCGACGCCCCCCAGGGCATGAGCATCATGGTCGATGGCAACATTCCCAATAGCGCTGGCCTGTCTAGTTCCAGTGCCCTGGTGTGCTGTGCAGGGCTTGCCACCATGCAAGCTAATGGCTTAGCTTTCTCGAAGGTGAGTAGAGCTTGTGTGATAGCGATGGTTGTGGGTACGTTCGATCTCCGATACAGCACTAATGTCCTTTGGCAAGGCATTAATCTATGTTTGCCACTACATACCAGGAGTGGTAGGACGATGAAAGCCTTTGTGTTTAATAGTAATTGCCGTATACCCTCATGATGACCATATGGTCAGAATACTCCCCAGAGAGTGGAGAGGGTACACATTGTGCATGAGTTCATCCGATGACCAGGGTATTAAAATCTGCCAAGAACTTGAAGATAATATTTCATATTAAGCGCTCTTTAAAAAAACAGATAATCATTATTATAGTGATCATGCTTGATACATACTTTGGGGACAATCGCTCACAATCATCAATTTCTCCAACTTGTCAATTTACTATTTCCAACCTTGCTTTCAACACTATTATGCCAAATTATAACCTTAAGGTGCTTTGACCTTATAAATGCTCAGTTGACAATTGCTCCAGGCTTTTATTTTGTCCAAGATATAGGGTGAGGGTTACTATAGTAAAGATATTTTGGAAGTTGGTTATTGTAAGAAATAGACCACCGAGCAATCACTGCTGGAGCAAGTGTCATAAAATCCACCTAGAGCAATGTACAGGAAACTTGTTGAGGAGTATATTAAAGGGATTGGGTATCTTTGCCTCAGATTCTAAACAAAATCCTGGATTTAGCTCTTGCTGCAATCATAATTATAAACCGTCTAGGTCAGTCAGGAATCCCATGATCGCCCATTTGATGAGGTTAGTAATGAGGTTTTGTGGTAATATGGGATCAAAAGCAAGAGAAACTTCAGAAATAACATGGGTAAATTTCTCTACACATTTTTTTTTTAACCTATTCCGTCATGATGTGGGGATTTGCTTCTCATCAATGTCACCCCCCATTTTGATATTTTAATGACCTTTTACTTAAAATCCAACTCTTGTTTGTTACATCATTATGCTATCTATTTTGAAGTGATTAATATAATTATTTTGCTGCATGTTTGATGAGTGTTCATGAACTAAATACAATACAATACAATAGAATACAGTACCCTATACCGGTAGTACAATGTGACTCACTGGCAATTAATGCAGTTTGCAACACAACACAACACCGTGATTAATAGCTTTCAATAGAAATGGTTGCAATAATTCAGAAGCACATTTCTAAATTGCTCTAGCTGCAACCACCAGATCCAAGAATCAGGATCACCCCTATTTTGTGAGTTGAATCGATAATGACACAACTTGTTATTTTTCGTACCATAATTGGCCTTGCATTGTTTCTCAGACAGAACTTGCAGACATATGCATGAGGTGTGAGCACTACATCGGAACCCAAGGTGGAGGGATGGACCAGTCAATCTGCTTTCTTGCCAAAGCTGGAACGGTATGTTCAAAGTTATTTTCAGTTGTTGTTTTTTCAGGACAGGATAAATTGATCACATATTGTCCTTCAAATTGGCAACAATAATATTCTTCTTTTATCACTACAATGATAGGATAAAATGCAATGTCTCTGAAAATAATATACATGGTTAGAATGTTGTCCACAAGTTTTTTAAATGGCCACTTTTGATCGAAAGACAATGATTTGGTTTTAATTCTGTCAATGTGTTGCCAATTTAATGAATTAAAACCTTTTTTTTCCATTTTAAAATTCCTAGCATCAAATGCACTCATAAAAACAAAAATGTATGCTGCTGTATTTTTCTGTCCTTTCTTCTCTTGTATCTGGTTTATAAATAGGTATTGAGCCAAACCACAAAATGTGGAATAATTGTAGCGAAAAGTTGAAGCTTCCCATTATCACTTGATCATGCATTGAATTACACTTTAAAAAGAACATGAATGAAAAATAAAATGGCATCAGCATAGTGCACTTTATGTTATATAAATCATATGCTCCATGTCATGATTGAAGGCCTCTGATTGGTCAAAAATGTAGGCATGAAAATCACCACTGCACTGCTGAGCAGTATAGCAAAAGAGAAATGTGTTATATATTCCATATACTGTAAATCAAATCAAATCAATTAATTGAAATAGAATCCAAAATGGGAATTATCATCAATAAACATGTTCCGGTGGATGTTATTACAAAAGAAGAATCAAAATAGGTTACAAATGAATAGTTGAAAAATTCATCAAGCATAAAAGTAGTTGATATACAATATTTTAAAAGGAGGATCAGATTCACAATATGGGGTTATTAGCAATGTGCTAGTGTAGAGATATTGACTATTAACGAGTAATGGCATTTTTCGTTTGTTTACGGGAATGGCTAAAATCACGACTCCAGTTTCGACCAATCAGATGGCTGGATTTCTTAAGTGAGGTATATAATCAATCCTATGTTGACCATATGTTACAGTGCAAACAGACCCAATATTCATATTCCCCCAGGCTTGTTGAAAGCATGTCGGGTAAGCCTCTAGATGTATTTATCCATCAATTTACATACCCCCCATCTCAGGGGATGCCATCCTACACCGGTTTGACTTTCCTTGTATACCCTACCTCCAGGCGAAACACATCGAATTCAACCCGATCCGAGCTCATGACGTAAGTCTTCCGGAAGGTGTGACCTTTGTGGTAGCCAATAGCTGCGTTGAGCTGCAGAAGGCTTCTACATCACACTTTAACATCAGGGTAGTGGAATGCAGGCTAGCTTCCCAGGTAAGGTTCCAAGATTGAATGCCATTTATACATTCATACCTTATACTAGCACCCTTCTCTACCATCCCCCCCCCCCCCCAAAAAAAAAAAAAAAATCAATTTTAAGTGATGAACAGCAAGATGCAAGCAATAAAAGGCCGCTGTGAGTTGTTTTCCCTGGTCAAATTAAATATATTTATATGTATATATAAACAGTGTCTCCTAGAGATCTATAGATTGTATGTTGTATTTACTGTAAGAGGAAACTATTTGGAGCTCTATGAATCCATGCCTGCTGGTGCCATGTGTGTGCGTGTGTGTCACAACTATCTCTACTAATATGCTACGGTCATCTCTATTAGGCATTGATTGTCTGGTAAAGAAAATTTGTGTAGCTCTTTCAATCATACTAGTATAATCTTCCTCTCCATGCCGGCCAGATTCTAGCCAAGTCCAAGGGGCTGGAGTGGAGAAAGATGAGGCGTCTAGCCGACGTGGAGAAGGCTCTTGGCGTCTCCCTCTCTGACATGGAGGAGCTGGTAGGCCAATTGTTGCATCCCAAGTCTTACACCAAGGAGGAGGTGTGTGGCATCCTGGGCGTGTCCCAAGATGAGCTGAACAGTGAGAGCTTGAGTCCAAACACCCTCCATGGTAAGGAAAACTTTCTCTGCTTCTATAATTTCTCTCCCGCTCTCACCTTCTCTTCCGTGTTCTTACATGTACATACTTTTTGTTACGCTATCTGTCTGGCCTTGTCTCACTCTTTATGTCTGTCATTCTCATTCTATCTCTCTCTATCTCTCTCTCCATCTCTCTCTCTCTCTCTCTTTCTCTCCGTCCCTCTCTCTCTCTCTCTTTCTCTTTCTCTCCGTCCCTCTCTCTCTCTCTCTATTTCTCTCTCTCTCTCTCTCTCACTTGTATCTTGTAATCTATCTGTGTGTACACTATGTATTTCTATCGCTCACTTGTAGCAATTTTCTTTCCCTTGATCTGTCTCTTTATCTCTCTTTCTTCCTGCCTCTAATATTTTTCTCTTAAAGTTGTAGTCATCGCATCTCTAGAAAGCAAATTGATGTCTTTGTAAAAAGAAAGAAAAAAATTAAAGTAAAAGTAAACAGTATCTAGAGTTGCCATTAATCATGTACTCGGGTTTATTAACCCATTATCTACAGGGAAAAGAAGGTACCCTTTTTTTAAATCCAGTAGTGATTGCATGGATGAAAGATTTGTCATCTAATGCGTAAAAGCAGACAAGTACATGTTGATGTCAGAAAAACACTAAGTTTCATCATTATCAAGGTATTAATGTACACATTGTCCACACTCTGTACCATTGAGAATGGAAACAACAGCTACACGTAGTAAAAACTGACTTAGTGGCCAGCTCTTTATAAAGGCCACTCATGTAGTCATCCAGTGGTCACCTGTATTGTCTCTTAGTACGAAATATGTATCCTAAAACCCCGTCAAGGAAGGCCACTTTCTCCACTTCTTTTGAGTGATGGAGACAGGCTTGACCCTACCATATTCATTTCCAAACAGTGCAATATTTCAAGCTCCACAACCGAGCCAAGCACGTCTTCAGCGAGGCGAATCGTGTGTTGAAGTTCAAAGCCCTGTGTAAGGATTCAGGCGCGGAGGACACTGCACAGTTACTAGGCGACCTGATGAACGACAGTCACGCTAGCTGCAGAGACCTCTACGAGTGCAGTTGCCCTGAACTGGATGAGCTGGTTGAAGTTTGCAAGTAATTATAGCCTTCTCTTTACATTCTTTTGCAATTCTATAATTTTGTAACATTTGTTTTGATAATTGTCCAAACAGTGTGAAGTGGATAAATGACTACATGTACTACATGTACTACAGAATGGCAGAAGATAGAGTGAAATGGAGAGATGTTGCAATCAACCTCCGAACCGGGAGAAGATACTGAGATAGATAGTACTACATGTATATCCATGATGAGAGGTTAGAAACAATGATAACGTCTTTTCATCCGTCTCACTCTACTTTGCTTTGGCTTAGAACATGGTTAACTTTAGAAAATGGACCACTTTAATAGACATTGTCATGATTTTTATACAAAATATTTTAAAAATGGACTGTATCCTGATGATACGTGTTATATCTCGCTTTCCGTGTCCCCGTTCCATTCACCCAATTATTCCCAAAACTCATATATTATCTTTTCCACTCCCTTATTCCCTGTCCGTCTCACTCACTCTCTCTCCTTCCATTGCTCTCTGTGTCTCTATCTCACCCTTTTACCTCCCCATTCCCCTCTAATCAATCTCAACATAACATATATCATCTCTCTCTTTCTTTCAGAACAGATTTATAATTTTGTGTGTTTATTTTAAGTTTTGGTTGGTAATTTTTAGTCTGACAATGGTGCGCTTAGAAACACCGGTATTAAGCACCTAATAAATGTTGTGTATTATTATTATTATTATTATTCCTTCACTCCCCCCCCCCCCCTCCCTCTCCCTTTCTCTCCCACACTCTCTATGTATCTCTATCCAACTCTATCCCACTCTCCCTTCCTCTAACGAACCCCATCACTCCTCAGGAGGGCAGGTGCTTTGGGTTCCAGGCTGACTGGAGCAGGATGGGCAGGATGTACGGTTTCCATGGTACCCACCGATGCCCTCCAGGCTTTCCTCAAGCAGGTGGAGGACGAGTTCTACGCCAAGGATCCGAACAGGCGGTCAAAGGTCACAGAAAGTTTGTTCGCGACACAGCCAGGCCGGGGTGCAGTTATCTATCAGCTATAGTTTTCAGTTCACGTGTAAAGAAGGAAAATATTAGTATTGTTAATTTGCTACCAGGTATATGTAGGATGTGTAAAATGGCTACTGGCTAAAATGTTCACCAGGGAGTGGAGAATGTGCATTCATTGTGTGCAGAGATGCCTGAATCAGTAATAGTATTTCTGTTTAAGTATACCAATCGCCTAAATATGTTTTGCTCTCGTAAACCGTTAACCTATAGAGTGCCAGGTGAACTTTTTTCAGGACAATTTTATACATTCAACCTATACAAAATTTGTTTTTTTCAGGCGATTGTTATTATACTTTATAAAGTGCTTAGAGACAGCATACCGGTAGATAAGATGTACAGGTGTAAATAATGTATAAAGAAGACAAGCAATATTTGGAATGGTAGTAAAATCAAGTGCCTTCTATTTTTTAAATGTGATGGCAGCTTGTCATATAGCCAACTCCTTGCAATGTGACCAAGGAAATTACGTTGTTCTAATAAAACCTTGTTATATCAGGGCTTTGGAGGGCAATCCAACCATTGCAATGAGTTCATTTGTTTGTACAGAAGCAGAAAAATAAGAGAAACAGAAATGGCGAAAGTTTGACATAAATCAGACCAATGATAAGAAAGTTATGAATGTTCGAAATATGAAATCACTACATCTCTGTGAATCTCTAATTGGCATTTCGGTCAGTGTATTGTGCAGGGATGCCAGTCAGTTTTACTCACTGGGCCTGAGAAGAAGCCAGAACATGTTACGGTCCCATATGTGCTGTACAATATAAAGCCTGAAAAAGCCTGAAGCGGGAAGTTGTCTGGGCCTGAAATCAGGCAAAAGCCTGAAGACTAGCATCTCTGATTGTGACGTAGTCACTCTTGTGGCCGATTAGAAATTAGGTTTAGTGATTACAATTTTCAAAAATTCATAACTCTCTTATTGTTTGCCCGATTTGGTTCAAACTGTCAATAATCCGCTTCTGTAATTGTCCTGCTTTCTTTTACAGCAATATGCTATTAAAGATAAAGATCAGTTATGGTCATGCGATTGCATTGTGAAAGAAACGTGGAATCGATCAGAAAAGGTTGATCATCTAGCATATAAGTATTGGTGTGTACTGCAAGGTTCTGGAATCATCAAAATGATAAGAAATTTGGCCTAGTCTTCGTAAAGTTACAAGCACTGTACACAGAAAGATGTATATGGGACAACGCAGTCGTGCGCGACACGTGCGTTTATCTCTCACAGTCCAATAGATAAACTAATTTACTAATTATATCAATTAGTAGGCGGTTTTCCGGCAACATTTTTATCATCATGTATTAATCAAAACATATTCTTTCACATGATTGGTAATAAAGAGCTTCCATTTCATTTCCAATACTGGTCTTTACCTTTAAGGTAAGATTCTCCTTTAAAAGAATTTGGAACTCCATGTAGAACTGAAATAAATTACCTTGTAACGAGTGTTCTTTATATTAAAGATACCATGTCCCTTTTGCAGCCAACATCAAATTCTGTAGAACTTTGCAAGAATTGTGAATATGTCACGTATGTCTTACTTGTGAAATTTTAACATTAGCAGTGTCCTAGTATTCAAATTATGCAAGGAAACCTGTTTATCTTCTAGACTTCACACTCAGACACTAATGAGTGACATCTTTTTTTCTTTGGTAATAACATACCGGTACATAAAATGAGCTGTAACAGCTATGTACATGAGCATTTATCTACATCAATAACCCACTACTTGTGATGGCCAAAATTAAACTGATTGAACCTTTGTGCACTAGTTCAAAACGAAAGACCATTCTGTAAAAGGGTCTGAAAATCAGACTATTACTTAGTGATTGCAATCACTTAAGTCGATTTGACAACTAATGGTCGTTGTTTTCCCACTAAAAGCAGTTTTCAAGCGCTTTCATTTTGAGAGAAGTTCTAAATTAGTATCGTCTTTTATTATGCAGTTGGAGTTTAACCTTTTTTTTTTTTACCTGCAAATGGGACATGGTACCTTTAAACAAGGTTCCACTGTATGTATATTTACATCAAGTGATATGTGAAACTGGTCTTTCATAATTAGCCAAAAATTCTATTGGAATTGGAACTGTTGAGGTATGTGCATGGGTCAATCATTGGAAATGTACCCAATCATTTGATCTTTTTGCACGATTGTTCTTCCATGTACGGCACGTAAATAAAAGGTAGATGCAATGTCAAAATGAACAATAATGTATATATAAAAGGTTCATTTATATAGCGCAGCTACTTTATGAATATATTTTACTGCGCTTAATACAAAGTATCATATTATTACCCCGGCTGTAGCTGAGCTGCCACAGTCTGGTGACATATCCACTATACCTCTACTATATGTATATCAATTGCATTGACTCGAACCAAGTGATCATGTAGATTATAGATGCAATTCTTCCTACCACATATAACTGAAAAAATTTAATAAAAAAGGGAGACCTTTGGTATCTTCAAATATGCGACCCTGCTTTAAAAGCTATCAATGTATAGCAGAATACGAGTCTGAGATTCACCGGAAGTTAGTGTGTCTACGAAATCGCCGAGGTATCAGAGGCGCGATGCATCGTGGGCGTGTCTATGCTACATGTATATGCGGTATATGCGGAATTGACCAACATGATTAACATTACCTATTGGAGGTGGGTGCTCCCTGTATCAATGTTTAATGGGTTAAATTGTGACAACTGTACTGATCACAATGCAATAAATATAATTGTTGCCATCTTTAGTTTAGTTTTTATTTTAGTACGACTTTTACAATAGGACTTCCAAGTCTAGTATTTATGTATATTTGAATCTTCGATATTAATGAAATTGTAAAAAATTCTACAAAGCAACTCATTGATCTACATTAACGTGTGCCTATAATAAAGTTATCTCTTAAAATTTTATCATGGTAACATATTTGTTTCCTACATGTAATGCTTCTGTCTTGTATTTATGAAGGACTTTATTCATGTAGTGCTGGTTTGTAGATCATTGATGTATGTGTGTGGAGATAAATCATAAAGAATTGGCTATATTAATTTACAAAGGATCACAAAACAAATCAATGTATTAACATTCATACAAATTTAAAGTGGAAAGTTTTGCATTTATTCACATATCATACAAATATATTACATTCATAAAAATATGAAATTTACAATATCATACAATGATGACTGAGATCATTTGAAGAAGTTTCAGTGAGAGACCCTAGACTTCTATATCAGCCCCCTGCCTATTTTTTTTTTTTTTTTTTTTTTTTTTGGGGGGGGGGGGGGGGGCATTTCACCTCGGAAGTATATTGGATAAGATAATTCCAAGAGACAAATACATTGTTTTACCAGACATTCAAACTCAAGTGCATAAATAATGCAAAAATATTATTTATATGACAATATCACATCTTTTTAAGAATTCAATAGTTTGACTGTCATTGTCAACACAGTATAATTGAAACTCATTGAAATATAAAAGGATAGCACACATTGAGCATGCATCTCAATTAGCATGGACTGTCTAAATTTTTCAGAACAATCTGTTATTAAAGAACATACATTGAAGTGGATTTTGAAAATCTGTTTCAAGCTAAACAAAATTATGAAAGAAAAGAGTAAAGTTCTTTTTAGAAAATGATACAACTTGCATCAAACTACGTTTTACAGTGTAAATTTATATTGGCATATTATGTTTTAAGAAATTTCTTCAGTCCTTTCAGAATACAGTTTTGAAATTTCATGCCACACACACATACATATATGATAAACATGAATGTCTAGTTTTTGTTGTGCATCTTTTCCCCCTCCCCCTCCCTCTACCTCTCTTTCTCTCTTAAACACACCCACACACACGAGCACCCCCACACAAATGTCATTCCCTTTTCTCTATAAGCCTCTCTCTCTTCCTCTCCCCCTCTCTCTTTCCCCTCCCCCGCTCTCCCTCTCTCTCTCTCCCTCCTCTCTCTCTCTCTCTCCTCTTCTCCCTCCCTCCCTCCTCCCTCCCCCTCTCTCTCTCTCCCTCCTTCTCTCTCTTCTCTCCTCCCTCCCTCCCTCCCTCCCTCCCTCCCTCCTCCCTCCCTCCTCCCTCCTCCCTCCCTCTCTCTCTCTTTATCTTACCGTTATCATTTCCCAACCCCTTCACATGCATCCGTATCTGACCTCAGACAGGAAGGTCACTTTTAAATTAAATACATGTATGTGGAAGAATTGCATACTTTTGTTTAAATTAGCACAATCATCAATCTCATAAGAAATAAAATAAAAAATTAGATGGCTGCTTCAAGAACATAAGATGTCAAAGTCTTGGAATACTGCACAGTTTCACATGGACGGTTTTCAAGGTGTTGTAAAGTAGCAAGTGTTATTAAAGGCTTGTTCCCATCTGCCACGTCAACTCTGGGCCTACTAGTACCAGCTACAAGTACCAAAAATATTAAAAGCTTAGTCCTACATGTTCAAAACCACACTGGAAAAGTTGCCATGATTTATCCCGGCATATCTGAGAGAGCCTCGTTAGAGGGAGGCCTTTGAATAATCCTTCAAGTTCCGTCTTCTGAATCTGCCTCCTCGTCATTGTCCTCCTCTCCCTCTTCTTCCGCCGTGCTGCTTTCGGTCTTTAAACTTCTGGGATGGGTGCGGGCAGGGCCGGGTTTGTCCTGGAAATATTTAAAATCATTTAGAAATCTTAGATTGTAAAGACTTTCAAGAAATAATATTGCAAGATATTTTATTGTATTGCCTATAGAAATGATTTTCATAATACATGCACATTTACATTTGAGACATTGCCATGTTTGCATATTTCAGTAGGTTATGCATAGGGCTACTGCAATTATTCTAGATTTATTTCTATTTTTTTTAAAATAAATTGGTTGGGGGGGGGGGGAGTCTTTGTGAACATATTAAAAATATATTCTGCAAAAATGTCATGTGTTAGAGAAGAGATATACAGTAAACTGTACCGGTATATGGGGAAATTTAGAAACAAATTGTACAGGTTTAAAAACTGTCGGTACTTTATCAAAGGATTTGTATGAGTGTACCTGTACCTGTGTACAGTTACTTGCTATACACATAGGCGTCGGAAGTAGGGGGCGAGGGCAGTTGACCCCCCCCCCCCCCCCAAAAAAAAAAAAAAAAAAAAAAAAAAAAAAAATCAGCAGTAAAGGAGATTGGTTTGTATATTTTTAACCAAAAATAAAATAAAGAATATTAAAACCTGAATTGACTGACACATAAGAATATTCCATTCAAAGAAAAGGAGAGAAAACAGGAATTTAATTTCCTAAACATTCTGCATGCCCCTATATTTATCAATGGATGGTTTGAGAATAGCAATACCCGCATATCAAGAAAAAGTAGGCCTATTATTTGTTCTTCTATTCGCAGCACCCTTCAAGTATTAAAGCTCTTTTATTTAGCACAACTCTTTACGCTGTTATCCCAATTAATGAATCTATAATTGTTTATTTCTTTGTTTATCGATTAGAGGTGTATTAATGAAGAATCATTTTTCTTATATTGGTAAAGGACATTAGGACAACATTAGTACAAATTTGACGGTCAGCTCAACTTAACGTAGACCAGCATGGGTATTTTTAAAGAAAATCATTTAGAGAAGGCTCCCATGGCAGAGGTGAGGTTCTAACCACGAGAGGGTTAATTCCCCCGTTTTTATTCATCGGCTAGGAAGAATAAGAGATCTGTGTCCTTTTATATCAACATTCCACGAATGCATGACTGCATAGGATTCAGAAGTATAAGCCCTTGGCTGAAAGAATATTCAAAATTAAAGAGTAGGCATTATACTCTTTGAAGTCTGCTTTTGCTTTAGAATAAAGTGAGGGTAATTTCAATTTTACATATTTTTTGTTAGATGAATCGTTATCTTTTATTAGCCGTGTAATATTAGTTGCTTTTATTTTTTTATTATCATTATTTGCAGAACATCTAAGTTTGCATGAGAATTTAACTGGTCACAAATGAAGAAAAATCATTCAGGTGCAGAAGTCAGGAGGATTAAAAAAAAAAAAGGACTACAAGAAAGTGCCAAAGAGTGCCATGCAGTCAATCTTGAATCTCTTTGGAAAACAGAATTAAGAACAAATAAAATCCAAAGAAGGACCATCAACATCTCATGAGGTACAATCTGCAAAACATGAGCAAAAAACTCATTAAAGCTCTCAAGCATTACAGGAAATTCACCCGACATCTTCTGAATCTGTTCAACGTGAAGATACCAAGCCCCGGCCTCCTCCCGATTTTCCCCCAGTCTCATGCAGATGGTTCAGTCCTCGGATTCTGACGCAGAAATGCACACTCCTTCTCCAGAAAAGGCAGAAGCTCACCATCCACCATCTGAGAGGAATAATTGCGCTCTAGTTTATCCAAATCAACCTACAACATGCAATTTCAAAGATAAGCTTGGAAGAAGATTTTGAATTGAATGGTACAAGACACAATCTTGGATTGAATGGGACAGTGGCGCAAATGACGGAAATGGTGCCGTTTTCTGCCACATTTGTCGACGAGTAACCATTTAACCTTCAGAACGTCCCCAGTACAGGTATTGTGAGCAGAGCTTCAGTAAACGTGGTTTCACAAACTGGAAAAACGCAACCGAGAAATTTCTCAAGCATGAAAAGAGCGAAGGTCATCAACTGCTGGTCTACAAAATGAATAAACTATGGCAGGGTGCAAACATTGCTGAAAAGTTGAATACCCAGGCACAGGAAGAAAGAAAACAAAATTCCCAGTACCTTCTCACTATTTTCACAACTTTGAAATATCTGGCGAAACAAGGCGGCTGCCAATTAGAGGACACACAGAGTAGAATAGTAACTTCTTTAATCTTCTCAACCTGCGATGCGAAGATGTCGAGGGCCTAGAGAAGTGGTTGGCCAGGAAGACCTCTTGGACCTCTCATGAAATTGTTGAAACCCACCTGCAAGCCGTTATTAAGGAGGCTCTATACTATAGAGGAGCTGTGGACATGCAGTCAAGGGCGAATGGATTCTTGAGAGTTTTTTTGAGCTTCAAGTTCACAATTGGCCTTCTCATGAGTCTTTCTATATTCGAGGTGAGTGACAGGCTCAGTACGGCGCTTCAAGGATCAGAAGTGTGAGCTGGGCAAGTGGCAAGACTAACGTAGGCAGCAATTGTGCAACTCAGCAAGATGACAAGGGAAGAATTCTTTGATGAGGTTTGGCAGCGAACGCCAACATTTGCCAAACACAACTAAGATGAGCCTGACCTTCCTCGGCAATTAAGAGCTCCATGCCGATACTACAAGACAGACGCACACCTCTTCGAGACCCCCAAAGATATGTACAGGAGCGTTTGGTTCGTAGCCTTTGATCATGTGCTGGTATCAGGGCTCCAGGAAAGGGTCTCATTGAAGGCATTAATCCTCATTACCAGGTCCCTCGGAGACGACCTTAAGATGTCGGCTGTCTGGTTGCTTACTTACAAGCACTTATGCTTTCTTAGCAGTCAGGTAAAATAACCACTACCCCCACTACCACTACTGTGTTGACTGCGACAGAGGATCTACTCATGTCGGCGTGGTCACGTAATGAGGTCCCACCTGAGTCAATGGAATGTGTCGTCAACCATTTTGGGGGCAATCTCGATGGACCTGGGTTAGAAGCCCAGCTTCAAGTACTCGAGAATCGTAAGGAAACCAGCGGGAAACCAGGATTGAGCCTGTCAGTGGACAAGATCATCAGCGCCATCTCAAGGTCGGGAATACAAAAAATGATACGTATCGCAGGTTGTGAAACTATTTAAGCTGCATCTCGTACATGTACATCCCGCCACAAAAGCGACAGTAAAGCGTTCCTCCAGTACACTTCGGAGGGTCAAAACCTACCTGAGATCTACAATGTCAAAGGTACGCTTGCATTCTCTCCGTCTTCTCAATGTGTACAGAGAACAAGTTGAATCCATGAACATGACAGACCGTGCGAATGACTTGATATCACATGGTGATGGCAAGAGAAAGAATGTATTCGCTATCATAAAGTAAGGCTAATCACCCTTACCCATTAAACATGTCTTAACGTTCATGGAATCTACTCTCTGTTTATGTTTTTTGTTGTCTGTTTTTGGCTCTTGTTTACTATGACATCATATCTTTATTGTCATAAATGCAGGCTTTCTTCGTGCCATACTTTTTGAAACAGGACATAGGAAAAGTGAAATTAACACAAATATGCTCTATCTAATAATTGTTAGGTACCATTACTTTTATCATTGTTGTTGTAGTTGTTATATTATTATTATCATTATTTTTATTATTGTTATGATTATTACTATGGTTATTATCATCATCTTCGTCATCAGTTTTATGAAAAGTAAGCAGAATCACATTCATAAGTGAGAAAAGAAGCTTCTTTATAGTCATATAATAAGCGCTCTGTTAGCATTGTGTAATAAAAATATTTTTATGATGATGATGATTATTATTATTAGTTATTATTATTGTTAATTATTCTCTATTTATCATTCATTATTATTATTATAATTATTATCATTATTATAATAATTATCATATTTATATTATTATTATTATGAAGAGTACGCCGATTCACTATCACGTTTGTATTTGCAGCCATGCAGAGGGCGTTACACTTAACTAATTTAAGCATGGTCCAGTGTAGACATTTTTCTATCTCAACTAATTTATAAAGTAATTTTACTACATACAAAGTTTTGGTATGGGGTCATAAATTTGGATCAAATGAACATATTGGAAGCATATGCGATCCTACAATATTCAGTGAACGTTGTCGCGATTGAAAATCGAGTCTACAGTTATGACATTGTAAATAAATAAAGTCTTTATGTTGTATAACTCCCTCTCAAGGTCAAGATATTAATTAAGCTATAAAACAATGTTCCTTGACTTAAATCGACTAATTTGCTATTCCTGTTTGGAAATTGTATATCACAACTACATATTCTGAGATTTTCATGGTCGCAGCTACCATATTGTACGGCCGTAGGTGCTATTTGAAATTTATTAAAATTTACCGGCCGAGCACCGGTAAATTGGTATATTCAATTTTTCTCGAAAGCAGAAGTGTTTAATACCCCCTTCACATACACGGATTTTTCTTACAAGTCCTCGCTGGTATCCGTAAATAACTCGTCACAACTCGTAACAACTCGTATACACTCTTAAGGATCCGTGAAAGGAGAGGCAAATTTTTTGACATGTCAAAAATCTTCTTACGATTGTCCACGGATTGATTTGTCCGGAAATAGCTTGTAACAATCCGTAACCATCCGTAAACCGCACGCAACGACTCGTACCCATCCGTAAACTGCTCCTAAGAATCTGTAAATGACTTGTTACAGATTTTTGTTACGATTCGTTACGGTTAGTTTACGATTTGTTTACGGATTACTTACGGATTATTGCGAGCAGTTTATGGATGGTTACGTGTGCTTACGTGTTGTTTACGATTTTATTCGGGTCATTTTACGATGGCTTTACGGATTGATACAGGTTATTACGAGCATTTTACGTGTAGATACGAGTACTTTACGAATAGATACATTTACTTTACGTATGCTTACGAACTGTTTACGATTTGGGGAAAGGTATAAAAGCTTCGAATTCGAACACTTCCTTTTCAGATGTTATTTTTTGGCTAAAAATCGTAAGGACTCGTCAATACTCGTAACTTACTCGCAACTGTTCGTAACAACACGTAAACAGGTCGTAACTAACACGTTAGTTGCTTGTAGTTATCCGTGACAACTCGTAACAAATCATGGACTGTTGCCATAAATACATCGTAATAACTCGCAATAATCTGTAATAAACCACAAACAGCTCGTAATAACTCTTAAACCGGTCGTAAAAGTGTCCAAATCGTAAGGATCCGTGAAAGATCCGTGAATTTGTGCGATCCGCAAGGACTCGTAAGAAACATCTGTGTATGTGAAGGTGGTATTAGGGGCTAAATTTTCTAGTGCTTATAATAAATCCACAGGAGCATCCAAATATATCAAAATTGTAAAGAATCGCTATCCACCCAATTTCAAAATTTCCCAAAACTTTGAATTACCTTTAATTAAACTTGTATAGTTACCTATATAATATTATTTAACATTTAATTTAATTTCATGTCTCTTAACTAACAGTATGGTATTCCTGCTTGATTTAACATCTTTTTAATTGACATTAGATTAGAAAGTATTACATTATAATACATATTGATCCCCCAGATTCATGGTGATCATTGAAGAATAGTGATAATTATTTTAATACAGCGTTCACACTTTTTAAATTTACCTTGCTGGTTTTTTATTATACGTTTTTATAAAAATATTCTGAAGGGTGTGTGTATGTATGAGTGTTGTATGGAGTGTAAATGTGTGCCTGTGTAATTATTGTGAGAAGATGGCATGGGAAAGCGTGTGTGTTTTTATTACGGGTGAGGAGACATGAGCCCCTGAAAGGTGAGCCCCCCCCCCCCCCCCCCCCCCCCCCGGAATGTTTCCCTCAATCCCAAACTGCTTCTGGCGTGCTTGGCTATACATGCATGTACTTTGTATAAAGAAAATTTGATGTTTCTTCAATCATTAATATTGGAAAGTTAGGGTAAAATAGAAAACTAATTTGGGGGCCAAGCTCATTTTTGTCTTCCTCTACCTTTATACTTGACCCTTTTTTCCCCCTGTGCTGTGTATTTAGATAAGAAGAATAAACAATGTGTGCTTTTTGCTGGCTGCGTCATGATTAAAATAAAAATCTATGTCATTCTCTGGATTGCTCTTGATGTTTTGGGAGACTGAGTAATAGTATACCAATTTTTGTTTAAATTCCCACCAGGAAAGGACAAGTCTTAATTGGTATTATACCAAAAACATAAGGTTTTGTTGACAATTAATTAGCCATGGGATTTAGTTCAAGTTTCACTTCATTAAATAAGAACTTATACTTTCAAAATTATATTAGAAATTCAGGTTTAGATTAAGTTTTTGATGTTGACGCCGTCGTCAACGCTGTCACCGGAAAAGCGGCGCCTATGTCTCGCTTTTTGCTACGCAGGCGAGACAAATACATTGCCCACCCTGGTTGCTTGCTTTTACAAAACTGGGATAGATATCAAGGTAAAACAAGAAGAGGCATAATTGAGCACATAAATACTGCTCCTTCAAATTCCCACATAGTCAAAATCTTTGTCCAAGAGTATATTTCCTCCTGATACTCTGTTCCCCTGGAGCAAAGGATTTGCTTGAGGCAGTGAGATCGGACTACGTCCCATGTGTGATAGTACTTTACATTGCATCAAGCAATTGGTGTCCACAACATTTATTCCTCATTAACATACACAAGCATTAATATATCTAGGCCATAATCGTTGGTTGGATTCCTGGAGGTCTTCTGTATAGTTTTCAATAAAAAAGAAAGAAATTTCCTACTTCTGTGGCTCCTCATTGATAGCAAAATACTCCATTTGAAATCTATACAGGACTCAGTTAGAGAGACGAAGCATGTCAAAAGATAGTAGAATAAAAAGAAATTAAAAAAATACAACACACACTGCCAGAGATGTCTTGTTTTTTTCCTTCAGTGGGGAAAATGGAACTTCCAAGAACTACTTGTTTGGCCAAGTAAAGTTAACAGTAACTTTCGTTTAAAAAAAAAATCACAAAGCATCAAATATAAATCTGTAGGAATACTTGAGGTATTCCTTGCATGCATTTCCTTCTTTTTCCTCTATTGAGCCGTCATGCATATGCCATCAAAAATACACAAATAATTTCTGACCAACTAAATTATCAATTGAATAAATAGATAAATACATGTCAATGTAGATAGATAGATAAATAAATAAATAAAAAATAAACTTACTTGCTTCATAATGGTGAGCATACCCTCCTTCCCCTGAAAACAAGAAGGAATGAACAAACAGATCATGTTTTAAGAGTATTTTTTAAATGAAAAATCGACCTTACATGTTGGCTACTACATTATACAAAGTTCTCAATATTAAGAATGAATTTATACCGTTTTTAGTACAATTTCTTTTTAAATTCACTATTTAAAGCATCATCACAGATAAATCTGTGAGACTACCATTGAAAGCTAGTTCTAGTAGTTTAAATACCATTAAACATTGTTGTTACTGTTAATTATATCAAGTACAAGCACAGAGCTTCTATTATACAAGTTACACTACACATGCATGAATAATTTAATACTGAGTTAGTGTATTATTGGGAATGACCCATGTCAACAAATACATACATACATTGTAGGTTGGCATGTTCTTTAATATAGTATTAAACAATAACACCAAGTATCAAACTGTTCAAATTATTTCTCATGATACAGATGTAGATTGACCCTTGAGGTACAAGTAGCTATGAAAAGATACATCTTGACCACGAATTGCATAATTCAGGGGTGGTAGTGAGCACTTTTTTTCCCTCAATCCCCCCCCCCCCCCCCACCTTTGAGTAAAAAAAAAAAAAAAGAAAGAAAAATGGCATCTAACAATATTCCCTGCCTTTTGAGTAAGAAAATTGGGGGGGGGGAGAAGGAAGGAAGGGCCGATTGGCGGATTAGTAGGGTTCTTATTCTAATCCCTCTTTGAAAAGCATGCAGTAAGAAAAGAAAAAAAGTCTTTTAGGTAGGCTACACTGTTCCCTGGAGGTATCTCCGCAAAATGTGAAAAATTGAACAGCATCAATTTTTTGTCCTTCTCTTTTCTGCTTCCATTTCAAATTGTTAATGCAACTTGAATTCGGCGTCAATATTCATAAATGAATGATACACGCCATAAAAAATAAAACAACAAAACAACAACAGTACATGTACATGTAGAAATTGTGGTCCAATAAAGCTATAAGATATTAAAAACACTCAAGTGTCCTTTTAAGAGTCGAGGAAAGAGACTTTGTTTGATATTGAGAATGGTTGTATACAAATAAAAACAAACAAACAAAAAGAAGATTAGAAATTGCTCGGAATACATTTCTGGCAATGAAAGGATTATTCACAAATAGAAAGGTGAAATTTGCGCTTCTAAAGGTTGAGACTAGTAAACTGTTATGTATGGTCTGTCCTATTGTATGGAGCAGAAACATGGACAATAAACAAGGCCATGGAAAATAGAATAACATCTTTTGAAATGTGGATCTACAGAAGAATGATGAAAATATCCTGGAAACGAATGAAAACCAACAAAGAGATATTGCACATGGCAGGGCGTAAACAAATTGCACTAGTAGGATTAGTTAAGGAGAGAAAAATCAAATACCTTGGTCATATTAAAAGGCACCAAAGCCTCTTAAAGGATGTATTGGAAGGAAGAGTGGAAGGAAGTAGACCTAGAGGGAGACCCAGAAGCAACTGGGAAGAGAATGTCAAGAACTGGAATGGACTAAAACTGCAAGAGTGCACCAGAACGGCAGAAGATGGAGTGAAATGGAGAGATGTTGCAATCAACCTCCGAATCGGGAGAAGATACTTAGATAGATAGAGATACAATGTAGATGTATACAAATGCGCCAGATGACAAATTTGCCAAAATATGGCCTTTGGCATTTAACAATGTTAAATCTGAGATGCACGGCCCTACGTGCAATTAGTGTCCGTAATATGGTATAATATTAAAGCCCTAAAAAAATAGAGCTTCAAAATGATCGAGAAGTGCCTCCAAAAAGTAAAAATCTTTGAGTGACAGGTTTTACATTACTCGTTTTCCCCAATAGACTGTAGTGTTATGAAAACCGTTTGGCAAACGCAACATTTTCATGCATTATAATTTTATAAATGACTACCATTTTCTCAGCAAAATACTTTGGAAAAATATCTTGAATAATGTGTTCAAATACTTCAATTTCAACCACTGACATGTACATGTACAAATGGCCAGAAGTTTCATACATTTACCCTACATATACATGTACAGCAAGTACATGTATTAAAAAGTTTCTAGTTAAACAGTGGACCATTAATTTGCCACGTTTACAGAAAATAACTTCATATTAGAGCCAGTTCCTGTATATCAATCATGCATAAAATGAAATTAAAAGTTGATAACTTATTAGAGGTTATCATGTAAACAAGCTTACAAATCAACAAAAACATGTCCGCAATTACATTGCAACTCAATATTTCCTGTAAATACATTCAACAGGTCATGCAGTTAAAGATATAATACACAGGTAACTGTTAGATTAAACATAGTCAGCCATGCCATGCCATTCAACTGTTACCTTTACATAATATGATAAGTCCAGAACATTTTGGAAACTCCTGTTTCCAGGGTCCTACAAGTAAACGCATACATGATGAGACAAAATCTAGGTGTGATGTTGTTTTAAAAAACAAACAGACTTGTAGTCCCTGGTATCAGTTACCCCCCCCCCCCCCCACCCCCACCCTCAATTCCTCCTTTTACTCTCTCCCTTCCTCATCCCCTCTCCTCTTTCTCTCACTCTCTATCTCTCTATATATCTCTTTCTCCCACCCACTCTCTACATGTAGGCCACCATATTATTTTACCTTCTCATCCCTCAGTCACTAACAACACCAAAATTGACTTCATCATCATCTGTGTCATTATCATGATCCTAGTCATGATCCTCCTCCTCCTCATCATCATCATCATTACCATCATTTATCATCAATGTCATCATCATCCACAGCAGCATTATCAATACCCTCCTTCTCCTCCCAATCACGATGCTAATCGTCCTCCTCCACCTCATCATCACTATCTTCCATCTCTTCCTCCTCATCCTCATCATCTTCATCCACAGCATTATCATTATCATCATCATCATCATGTTAATACCTGCAGTAATTTATTTACGTCAAATGATAATTTGTTTTGCTTTGTCTTCTGTTCCAATATAAATTATACATTTATTAATACAAGTATAGGTTTATGCTATAAGTTCACCCCTTTTTATAATCGCCCACATTGACATTAATTTATTTGTCTTATCTTGTTCGGTATTTCTGCTTTTGTTATTATTGATATTTTCTTCTAATGTTATTATCTCATTAATTTGTTGAATAATTACATGTACTATGCATAATGTGTATACTGTTTTTGTTTTCCTTTTTTCTGGAAATATGGAAATAAATCAATTCAATTCGATTCAAATATTCATCATCACTATCATGGTCTGGTAAACATCATCAGATTCCTACTATCATCATTTTCATCTTCAATAGACAAGGCTACATTAGATTTATACTCACCCTGAAATCTAGAATCTTTTCACTTAGGATCTTGGTATCATGAGACCTCAGAAGGATCTGTGATTTAAGAGCCTCTATCTCCCTTGCCTGCTGGACTCTCTGCTTCTCAATAGCAGCTAGCTCCTTGTTCAGTATCTCACTAATCCTAATGAGCAAATTCAAGAGATCCAATCATAATAATTAACAATAAAAAGAATGAGGGGTTCTTCCACGGTGCAAGGTAGGCCTACTCAAGGCACTTAAATATCATACCTGCCAACATTTGAAAATAAGAATTAAGAATTTTTAGCACACTATGCCTTCGAAAATAAGAAATTGAACTTGCAGGGGCAGTGTGACTGGCAATACACGGTAAATTTGAACCAAAAAATTCAACTAACACAGAACATGAACTCTCAAATCGTGGCACATGATAAAACAAGCATAATTTGGCTTTAGAACCACCACTACCACACAAAAAAAAAAAAAAAAAAAAACCAAAAAAAATTGAAAAATTGAAAAATCTGAATATTCTGAATTTTCAGGTCCTAAAAATCCAGAAAGTCAGAATATTCTGGATTATTTGTAAGGGTTGGCAGGTATGAAATATTACCCCCTGCACACCTGCTACAGCTAGTGAAGATCAGAAATCTCCTAAGCAAACAAAATTACAGATGCAGTGTATTTTACCTACATTAGATGGATGTTTTCAGAAACGAGAGGAATATGAAATTGTTTTTAAGGCAGACAAATAGGAATCATACCTCCAATATTTATTGGTTCTACAAAATTAATGAAATTAGCTTATGCTTTTGTGGGACATCTTGGCAAACCGATCATTGTAGAGTTGTGTGTATTTGTATGAAAATGATACTTACTTCTGATATTCTGTACTCATAGCCTTGGCCATGCATTTCGAGTCTTTGATGACCTCACGATACGTAGGTGCAGGCGGACTGGTCAGAGGTTATAGGTCAAGGGTCACAAATAAGTATGCAATCAATATGAGTTCAGAATGAAAAAGACTGCAAAAACTGAAAGGCTTCTTAGAAGCTAATTTTTCAAATAGTAAACTGAGCTTATAATCGTAATATCTTCATAACTGTTGCTGGTGGTCTAAGGGACAAAAAACACATGAAATTTGTCAGATTGTTAATAATAAAATACTTGAAAAAACTTTAAATTTGAAGAAGAAAAAAATGCAAGCTCTTTAATCCAGTCTTCTCAGTTTAGATCTTTTACTTCACTTTCTTATTCATTGTAGATTATAAATAAATGTACCTGTATTAGACAAATAATGATGGGGTATTTTAAATTTCTTTTATTTTCCTTCATTTCTCTTTTCCTTTCTTCCCTTTTTCCCCAATAAGCTGTAATATTAATGACAAATATATATACACATTGCTAATACGCAAACCTATTTATCCAATTTAAGTGTCCGTTTGGAGCCAGAATGTTGTTAAAGGTATAGACCAGTTCTAGTCATGCGATTGCATTGTGAAAGAAACGTGGAATCGATAAGAAAAGGTTAATCATCTAGCATATAAAGTATTGGTGTGTACTGCAAGGTTCTGGAATCATCAAAATGATAAGAAATTAGGCCCAGTCTTGGTAAAGTTACAAGCACTGTAAACAGAAAGATGCATATGGGACTATATACGCGATCGTGATGACTGCAGTCTGGATCAATATTATAATTTACCAAATATATCAATTAGTAGGCGGTTTCCCGGCAAAATTTGTTTCATCACGTATTAGTCAAAACATATTCTTTCACATGATTGGTAATAAGAGCTTCCATTTCATTTTTTGAGAGGGGGGCGTTTCCAAAACTGGTCTATACCTTTAACTCTGTGTAAAATGAAGTTAGAACACTTCTGACTCCAAACAGACTATTCGTAAGCTGAGATGTTTCAAAGGATACGGTAGTTTCTCGACCTCTGTCCTGCGCACGTGTCGGCCAATGTTCTGGTTCCCAGCCAGCTGTCTCATATGAAGGTAGTGAGCCACAAGAGGGCTACGACCCTTGATGTTAAAGAGGACTCTCTCAAAGTCAGGTCCTGGTCCTATTTGGTGGGACTAGAATAAAAGGTAGGCCCATAATACAGGGTATTATTCATAATATTCACACTGCCAGTCAACAGAAATTATAGGGAGGGTAAATTGACAATTAACAATGAACATTGCATTAAAAATCATGTTATAATGAAAATTATGATAAATAATTGTTTCTATATGTATGTAAAACGTGTGACCAGTTACAACTTAACCAACCAATGCATTTGTTTACGACACTTGTCACTGATTTCAATTAAGATTCTGAACTTCATAGTACACACTTTCCACTCTACCAGGGAGCATTCCAGCCAATTGCCTTTTAATATGGAATTGTTGGTCTTGCAATTTCATTTGGTGGTTTTGGGGTACTGGGTCACATATGATTTGTGATCGACTTTGGTCAGGGTTAAGCACTGGACACATTGTACAAATGATGCACATGTGTTCATTATACAATCACTCCTGACAATTTTAAAGGATAGGTGCTTATAGAGCTTCAACAAGAGCGGATAGACAGTAGAATAAAGAAGTGAAAACATGTATCATTTAGTTTATACAACGGAACTCCTAGATCCTTGTTGTTTGATAAAATAAGGAGTCATTTCAAGATTGGCCCATGCATTATCAATGACAAATAAATCTGTTTACAAGGATTACTTTAGCGCGCACACAGAGTATAAGCGCAAATACTTTACCAGTCCTACACGTGCAGTACTACATGAGTATAAGCATATGTGTCCATGCGTTATACGCTCACTCAACTCTACGTCTACAAGTGCACATCGTATACTTAATATTGTTGAATAAAACCAGAAATAGTTGTGATAGTCTCAAAACATGTCTGCATTCGACCAATGATTTGATTAGGATCTGCAATGAGTTAAGTGGCTCAGTGGTAGAGCAGAGGTCGTGTAACCGAGAGGTCCCTGGCTCAAAACCAAGTCAATGCCCCTGTGCCCTTTAGTAAGACATAAATCCTCATTACCAAGTCCCACAGAGAGGACCTAAAGCCATCAGTCCTCTAGTTGCTTTACTTACAAGCATATACATGTACATGCTTTTTTAGCAGTCAGGTAAAACAATCATCATCAACCATCAACAAGTATAAAAGCAAAATTCACACTGACCTCAACTTCAGTTTGAGCCCCCTCAGCATTGGTGGCTCCGGTTTGAGGAAAGCGGTGACCTTTATTGAGAAGGGTCATCTCACGCGATATGGTAGAACCGAGTTCATTGGCAAGGGAATCGCTTTCATCCGGTATGTCAATATTGATGGAGAAGTCAGCTGAACAAAGGTAAAAAGAAACATTGCTCAGCATAAACTCCACACAAAGAATTTGTTATATGAAATATATTAAACTGCACATTAAATAGCCCCCTATGAAATTCACGGATCTTTCAGGGATCCTTACGATTTGGCCACTTTTACGACCGATTTAAGAGTTGTTACGAGGTATTACGAGCTATTTACGGTTTGTTACGAGTTATTACGATATACTTACGGCAGAATTCCACGATTTGTTACGAGTTGTCACGGATAACTACATGTTAGTAACGACCTGTTAACGTGTTGTTACAAATAGTTACGAGTAAGTTACGAGTATTTACGAGTCCTTACGATTTTTATCCAAAAAAATAACATCTGAAAATGCAGTGTTCAAATTTGCAGTTTTTATACATTTCCCCCAAAACGTAAACGATACGTAAGAATACTTGAAGTATACGTATCTATTTGTAAAGTACTCGTAACTACACGTAAAGTGCTCGCAATAACTCGTAACAATCCATAAAGCCATTGAACACGACCCGAATGAAATTGTAAACAACACGTAAGCACTCGTAATAATCCGTAAATAATCCTTAAACAAATCGTAAACCAACCGAAACAAATAGTTAAAGAAATCTTTACGAGTCATTAACGGATTCTTGCAAACAGTTTACAGATGGTAACGTGTTGAAACGAGCAGTTTACGATACTTACGGATTGTTACGACCTATTTACGAGTAATTTACGGACAAATAAATCCGTGGACAATCATAAGAGGATTTTTGACATGTCAAAAATTTTGCCTCTCCTTTCACGGATCCTTACGAGTGTCTGCGAGTTGTTGCAAGTTGTGAGGAGCTATTTACGGATACCAGCGAGTTATTTACGGATGCTTGCGATTGACTACGAGTTGGAGATCCGTAAGGACTCGTAAGGAAAATCTGTGTATGCGAAGGGGGTATTAATTTGTGTCTTCATCAGCCCGCAGTTGCAAAGAGCAGATATTTGGTCGAGAGAATATCCCGAGAAATCTTGGTCTTGTTTCCAAAATATCTCGCTATTTGGGAAATAGCGGGCTAATTTGCGCCCGTCCAAGCTAGTTTGTGATGAGCGTATCAGTCTGGTGAAGACGTAATTTCGAGCTTCGGGGTAATATCCCAAGTCTGAAAATAGCAGGTTATTTGGCAAACTCGAGCTGATGAAGATGGGCCTATTAAAAGAATACATCTGTGCAGTCCTACTGGAACTACTGACAATTTTAATCAAGTGTATAAATCTCACCATCTTTGTTGATATGACCTTCCTTAATCAGCACCACTCGATGCTTATCCTCTTCTTTCTCCTTGTTCATACTCTTAGGCTGTAACCTCTTCACATCCCAGTGTTTCCATGACAACGGCTTGGGTTTCACACCTGCAGGGAAAAAAAAATGATGTCAAAGATAATCTTGTAATCATCTTGATAATATCTGAATACCATCGCTAAGTTTGAATCCACGGCCTTGGCATCTCCAGTCGAATGTTAAAACCACTCGACTACAACACCTCCACATTTTAATACTGATGAAGCTATTCCAAAGAGCTACATGCATGTACAGGCATTTACAGTATGTACATGTATGATGTGAAAGACACATATCTTCCATGTTCTGATGAGAATAACTATATATGTCACATTTGTAGCATACTTTCTAAGCCGATTGACTACTGAATTCATTTATTCCCATAGGCTTCATACAGTAGCCACCCAGTTCCAGTAGTCAACAGGTTAATTTGAATCGGCAAACACTGTATTAAAAGAACACATGATGGCATGGCATGGCATATTATTGCCGGCTATACATAATTGTTACAAGCAATACATGATTTGAATGTAAAAAGTGAATCAAGTGAACAGATATCTATCATCAATGTGGGAGAAAAAATGAAACATGTATATATGCAAATGTACAATGACCACAGCTTCGTTCAAACATGATGCAACAAATAGCTCCAAAATGGTTGTAAATAAATAATATATTAATTAAATTATTTAAGTATTAATGAAAGGCAAAAAGAAAACTAAAAACAGAAGCTGATAGTAAAAAGCATACCTACATGTATGTACTGATATCTGTTCTTCATTAGATAAAGATATAGGAACACAATACGAGTTGGTAGTTTTTTTAGTTTTTTTATTTTGCCACAGCAGATTAATGAGCCAGTTCATAGAGTGGTGAAATGTGACGTCATCAAAAATCTATTTTTAGAATTTCTCAATTTTTTCTTCATATTCCGAAAGAACATCAAAAATAATGTCAAAATGTCAAAAACCAATTGAATATGTTAAGTATTAGCTGAGATATGACCATCTGAATGAATATATGTCCTATGGGAACTCAGTGTTATATGCTCTGGCTCCTAACCATTAGGAGCCAGAGCATATAACACTGAGTTCCTATATTCAGATGGTCATATCTCAGCCAATACTTAACATATTCAATTGGTTTTCGACATCTGGACATTATTTTTTATGTTCTTTCGGAATATGACGAACAAATTGAGAAATTCTAAAAATAGATTTTTATGACGTCACAGCTTCGGTACTCTATTGCATCACTTGTGTTTGAACAAGGCTTGTTTGTTTCTTTAGAAGCTTTGTATTGATAGGGTACCTGCAGTGAGCTCCGAGCAGATAGAAGCAATGTTCTGTTTGAATCTATCCCCAAGCTGATGATGAGAGTCAATGAAGGCTTCCCAGTATGCTGCAAATACAGCCTGAGCTAAGCAGTCTGAATACACCTATGGAATAGAATCAAATCAACACATAGATTCACTGGCAAGTTAACACTCTTCATTTGTATATCACACACAATCATAAAAACGTGTTTTCTGACCACATCCAAGATCTTAGTATATCTCATCGTTGTTGTTGTTTTAGTTTTAATATATCTCAACTAGAGATTGGATCAGACCAAGTATAAAGTAAAATGACGGATTGCAAAATTTGCACTTTTCATTTCCACAAGCAAAAAGAGAATTTTATTCGAGAGAGTTTCAAGCTATAATTTCCAACTCTTTATCAATCAATTATACACACATTTTCAGAAGACTTCTTCCTGCTTCACATGATATGATTTAAATATACAAATCTACATGTGACATCGTAGGTGGTTTAATTTGATGAGTGCATACAACTTACCACAAAGAATTTATCTTTGATTTCTGGATTCACACTGACAAACAGGGCAACAAAGCTGTCTGCAATCCTGTTGAAAAGCTTTTTCTTCTCCTCTTCTTTCCTAGGCTATAAGGAAAAAAAAATGAATGAAACATCATTTTGTGTAATTGCTGATTCTCTCTATTATAGCTCTCGGAAGCCAGAGGCTTGTGGCCATCTAATGTTTTGGCATGCAAATCAGCCAATTTGTTGGGAATTGTACTTCCAGTGTATTTGCCTATCTTTGATATTGATTGTCTTTGACAAATAATTTGACAGACGCGTTCATCTTGGCAGGAAGATTTTTTTCAAGTGCTGCACAAATAACATTCAGCAAAAGCAATCACACAAGAAGGTCACATAAGTGATCCTGAAGGACCAGAAGTTGGTGCCCCAATGCCTTTGTCCGTAGTATCAGTAACATGACCTACATTAATATCTACCGTATTCAGTTAATATAGGCTGTATATATACATGTAGGAAGAATTAAACTTGTCTGCTCAAGGCTTTCAGGTGCAAAAGAAGAATAACTGAAAGGCACTTACTCAAAAGTACAATATAGGTAGAATAAACCGAAAAAAGGGAGAGAACAATTAATTATAGGCCGAATCAAACAAATATGTTTTTATATATTTTGGAGCCCTTCAACTGGTCTGCTAGTCTGATGTCTGTAGGGAGAGCATACCACAGATCTTTTCCCTTATTCATTATTAAAGTGAAAGTAACTAATTTTCAAGTTTCCCTGATGTTCAAGATACCTGTATCTGGAAACCATGATACAAGAAACTAGATGGAACTTCGACTGCCCACAGTCGAAAATGATGCCTCCGCCATAGAGCGATTTCACAAACCAAAACAGAAGCAATTTTTCAAATTCAAGTTTAATTGTAATCCATTAACAGGTTCTCAGAATCTCGTGATTACAAGCTATTTTTCATATACATGTATGACCCTTTTATCTTTGACCTCATGACCCTAACATCTAATCAGTTCATTGGCATTGCAAGATACATACATGTCTTGAGTTTGATGGTAATCCGTCCATCGGTTCTAATGATGTGATCACCAGCTATTTATGCATACATAATGAGTCCTGTGACCTTTGACCTTGTGACCCCAAAATCCGATCAATTCATTGGCTCTGCAAGATACATACATGACCTAAGTTTGGCAGGAATCCATCAATCGGTTCTTGAGATAACGTGATCACAAGAACGGGACGTCGTACATACCGACGGACGGACAGACAATTCGAAAACATAATGCCTCCGGCTACTTCGTAACGGAGGCATAAAAAACTTAGATAAATATGGGTTGAATGACTTAATTACCTCGTATCTATCTATGAAGAACCACCAAAACATATCTTGCATGACAGCCACCGATGCTTCCGATAGGAACAGTTTCTTCCAAAACTTGTTGAATCCAGCCTAAAATAGGGGATAACATAATCAAAAGCAAACAAATTATGATGAGATGTGTATTAGAGCATAGTGAGACATTTTAGCACATGTATGCATGGTACAAATAACAACCAAAAATATCCACAGATGTTTCAAACATGAGAACGTCCCACTCAGTGCATTAGTTTAATAAACGCAATTAATGTGCATGATGGAGCCTCATAGTGGAGATTCAGGAATATCGGTAGCTTGTTTTCCCCTTGTGAAAAAAATTGTTTCAACTGTATCACAAGGAGATGATTATTAAAGGGGTAATTATTAGTGTGACAAATTGGGTATGACTGAATAAAAGGGGACGAAAATTGGAGTACATCATGTATACACACTATAAACATTAAATAGTATTTGGATAGTACATTTATGTCAGAGACTTTAAAGCGAGACTGAACTGATGGACTTGCACAGCGCCATCTCATGATCATCTTGCAAACTCTACCCTACTTATTCTAAAGTTCAGTGGAACCAACGATGCAGCGAGTAACAGGACCAAACTGCTACAGCTGACCCGAGACGGCACTTGAGGTAGAGCTTTAGTGCAGTCCGGCCGGCTTTAAGGGTCTTGAGCTTTGATATAAAACAATGGGTCAGAGTTCACACTAATGTTTAGTGAACTGTCTACAGAGCGAATGCCGCAGGTAAAACCTGCAAACTCTGTGCAAAGGTGCAGTCCTAGAAGAAAATAATAGGGGGGGGGGGGGGCTACAGGGGTGGCGGAATGGGGGGGGGGGGTAGGTTGGAGGTAATTGCTGCGTTAAGTTTCGGCATGTGCCTCACTCAAGAAGAATTTGTGGGGGAGACTTGAGCCTCATAAGCCCCGGTCTAGGACCGCTACTACCTGACTTACAATTTACACTGTACATTGAAACTGGCTGCAGATCAAGTGCTGCAGGAGCAAGAGTCGTGAAACGTGCAAGGCCTCCACATCAAAGTGACTTACATTGAAATCCTGGGCCCTGGTAACTCTATCTAAGATCTGAGGCGCTTCCAGGCCATGAGGAAGTTCTGTTAGTTCATTCTTATTGAAGCCTGGGTAGCTCATCACCTTTAGAACAGAGGAAAAGACAACAAAACAGTTTCTAGTAATTATATCCCTTCTATGAATATTCATGAGTATTCTAAATACACGATTGCTCAATTGGTGCTCAGGTGATAAAACATAATTTCACTAGGAAAAACAACTCTCTGCCAGAGCTCCAAATAGCTTTCACTATGTTTTCGTGGGCATAACTCTGCATGCTCTACTTAATACTTTCTTCCAAGGCACTACTGCGCATCCACACTGGGTGTGCGTTTATTGGGTCTTGCCACTAGATATGTACATATCGTACCCCACTATCATACCCCACTATCGAACCCCACTATACGAAAGTGATTTGCAGGATGTCACCAGTACTTTAGCCAGGCCTGCGCTATATTGTCTCATTTTTTTATTTTGTTTTAATTACTTGAAAAGAAGAGATACAAAACAAATATACCTAGCATTTAGTTAGAAAGTATAGCGAAAATTATATATCTTCGGAGGGACTGGCAATAGTTACTACTTTTTCCTCGGAGCTTTGCCCCTCAGATAGAATACTACCAGGCCAGTCCCTCCTGAGATGGGTAATTTCCACTATACTTTCTCACAGCTTGGTATATTCATATAATATCGGAGAAGAACTAATCAAAGAATACTGAGCTTGTGGCTTACCTCAAGACTTCTAGCCTTGCTGCCCAGAATAAGAGCTCGGAGCTCAGTACTGTTGTCTTTCTCCTGAACACGATGCGCTTTCACCATGTCACTGTTTGCCGCACGATGCATCACTGTCAAAAAAATAGTTACATTGATAAGGATAAGGGAGCGCCAGGAGTGTCATGTCTGACAGACATGAGCGCTATACAAGAACCCACTTTTATTATCCCATAATTCATTCTAGAGCAAGCTCAATGCATGAGGGCTTAGCAGAGGCGGATAACAGCTAACAGATAATGGCCTCTATAAGAGGCCATCATTATCATTAGCATCATCTAAGCTGATAGTTATCAATAGGTAGGTTTCAAAGAATACTGACCCACATGAGTATATCTACAACCTGTATCCTGTATCAGTCAAACAGATTTGCATGATCCAACAGGTTTTATATGGTAGAGGTGTTGTGGTCGAGTGGATATGTCGCCGGACTGCCGATCACAAGGTCCGCAGTTCGAGTCCCGCCGCTGCACTAATGTCCTTTAGCAAGCATTGATCTACATTTGCCACACTTCACCCAGGTGAAGTAAATGGGTATCTGGTAGGAATTTATTCCTTGAAACGCAGCGGGCGTAACAGCTGCACTGCATTATTGTAGAGCACTTAGAGACTTCTGACAGTACATGTAAGTGTTAGGCACTATATAAGCACTGTAATTATTATTATTATTATTATTATACAATACTCCTGTCTGATATTCCTCAAACACTAATTTCATTGTAATTGGAATCATTTAAACAGACTATGTGACAGATATGAACAAGTATACCATACATTTGTGCATTATTTTCTTCAAACTGCTCCTTCTACATCTACATAATCATGTGACACTTGCAACAGAGAGATGGTGCTTCAATGACTGGTCCTGCACACCTAAACACTGCACTAAATGAAACATGACAGTTTTCTCTGTAAGAAACATATACTGTGAGAACGTAAACAATATATGTAATTCATGCAGGAGCAATTATGCAACAACAAAATTAACATAAATGTGCATCAAACAGACGAACAACAACAATATCTTTAACTCTAACTTTCTAAAAAAATAACTAAATAAGTGAACTATAACTACTGTTATCCATCTAAAAGACTAGGAGAAAAAAGGAACGAGAACATTATGCAGGGGTTTGCCTAATTTAGTGCATTTTTTAACGAGCGAATGTTTGAATGGTGCACATGATGAATACTCGTTGTTTAAAATTGAAACCCTCATTTGACTTTCACTACTCCTAGAGCTAAGCCTAAAGTAAACACTAGCGCTATACAATTTAATCCCCCTGCCGAGACATTGATGGGTGATAGAGAGGAAGAGAGAGATAAGCATGATAGAGGGAGAGAGAAAGGGAGAAAGAGTGCTAATTTCCACAATTATTGTTATTATATTGCCAATTCTGGGTCATTTTGCTTCGTTTGAACTTTCATTATGGTCTTCATCTAAATTATAATATAAGTGACGTTTGGAGATGAAAATATCTTAAAACAAGTAAAATATATATTTCCTACTTCTCATTTCCTTTCAGGCAGAGCCCCATAGAGTTTGTTTACACTATTACGTAAGATGATGAAGAGTACAGCTGCCATCTCTCACGCGAGCTGCAAGGCTCTGTCCAAGTTTTAACAAGATCTAAAAGTGGGGTTGTGATACCCCATCTGATTTACATTGGTGCCTGTGTTAAAGTGCTAGGGTATAGTGGCTCTGTCAAAGTTTTAACGAGAGAAACGAAAGTGGGGTCGTGATACCCCATCTGAATTATATTGGTGCCTGTGTTATAGTGCTGGGGTATAGTGGCTCTGTCAAAGTTTTAACGAGAGAAACGAAAGTGGGGTCGTGATACCCCATCTGAATTATATTGGTGCCTGTGTTATAGTGCTGGGGTATAGTTTTCACAAGAGATTTTTGTAATGAAAAGAAAAAGAAGTAGATGTATACATTGCAAATGTGCAATGTGAGGGTAATCCTTATTTACATGTGGCGCTAGTAGGGATTTTGCAGTAGTGATTCTAGTAGATTATGGCTTGAAGTTTATCTGTAAACATTTACCTCTCATTCCCTAAATCCAATCAGTTCATTCCTCAATTATTTGAAATAGCAGATTTTGTTTTTTGTTTGGGGGGGGGGGGGTCTCTTTTTTAAAATTTATACATGATGTGAATAAACATGTGCGTAATTGTTGATATAGGGTTGTATGTCTTGTACTAGGCACACAATCCTTCAGCAAAGTCTAATAAATTCACTTAAAGATAAACTTTAGTACTGGTAATGCGATTGCATTGTGATCGAAAGAAAAGGTGTGGAAAGGATCAGAAACAGTTGATCATGTAGCATGTAAGTATTGGTGTGCACTGCAAGGTTCTGGAGTCATCAAAATCATAATAAATTTGACCGAGTCTTGGTAAAGTAACAAGCACTGTACACAGAAAGCTATATATGTGGCAACACACATGGTGTGGGAGCTAGTACTACCTTGATCCTTGTCTTTCTATGCTCATTACTCAGCCAGTATACATTTTCTTCCAAAATTGTTTGGCACATGTCATTTATTTGTAATCTTGAACATTCAGTGTAAGTTTTGTTTGATTATGTTAGAATTAATTTTCTTTTTTTACCAGAACTGGAGTTTATCTTTAAATGGTGCACAATGTTCAAGTGCTAGTGTCATCTAAAAAAAGGAGAAGACAGACAGATGGACTGACAGCTCCAAAACACCCTCTACCATCCATGCAAACAAATAATGAACATGGTCGCTTGCATGAGTGAACAAAAAAAAATAATTGAAAAGCAGGTGAGCGAACGATGCAGTGTGTCTAGTTCTACGAGTGATGCAATGCACACTATACATACCTGGCTTGTATACGACAGGGCCTGGCAACACATTAGGTAGCAATGATTATTAAAGGTTCAGAAATTCAAATTATCAGAAAAAAGGTTTTCTACAGACAACTCACAATTTATTTTTTTTTGGAAGGAAAATACAAACATTTGCTTTTACAGAAGGACTTTTTTTTTAAAAAGTTTTTTTGCAATGTGCAATCCAGTTATCCCTTGATACATTCAGCGTCTTGTAAAACACATACATGCCAACATTTGAAAATCAGAAATCTGTACAAATTATGCTATTTTCAAAAAAAAGAGAAACAATCCTAACTCTCCTATTCAATACTACAGACAAATTTGTACAGGAAGAGGAACACCTGCATTAAAATGATAATTATCTTCTCCCAAAAAGAGGAATGTTCCTCTTTAATCTGAACAGTTGGCATGTCTGAAAACGTGCTTATTTCACCTTTTGTATTCTTTGTGGAGGTTAATCACTTCAGTTGACAATTAGCTATATCTCTCTGACTGAAACCAATGTAATAACTACAACATACAAAAAAACACCAAATTGATATTTAATTTATATTTTCTTAAAGTTTTCTGTTGTGTTTGATGTTTCGCTTCACTAGTTTCATCAAATGTTTAATGTGTGGAATCAATCCTTTTTCTATGATATTACATTTTAGAATTAACATTTACAAGTGCCTGACATTCTCTCTCATGTACGACGTGTTAATGTAACAATTTTCTGATGAAAAACAATTTGAATGAGTTTCATGACTTTTACATAACTCATCACTTGCAAGTTTCAGACTCAAATTTTCATGAGTTCCTAAAATAAAACCTTGAATGCAATTCATTTTTCAAGGGGGAAAAAAGAGAGAGAAACAAAAATAAGTGAATCATTTTGTGTTACCTGCTGCAGGAGAGTGGAAGAGCTCATTCTGTAACCGTGACGACCGGCCATCATCTGTAACGACCTGAGTAGCGTATACATCTAGTCGCTCTTGGAGTCTGTCCACCTTTGCTTCTAAGTTGTCCAGAATGTGAATAGGAAATGCTAGATGAGTGAAAAGGTTGTTGAGGTCAAGGACAACTGTTAAAGGGATTGGGTATCTTTGCCTCAGATTCTAAACAAAATCCTGGATTTAGCTCATGCTGCAATCATAATTATAAACCTTTAGGTCAATAAGGAATCCCATGACGATAACAAGCTGATCCCCCTTCTGATTATCAAGATATTTATGATTGGAATCCAAAATTTTAACACTACAGTCTATTGGGGATAATGGGTATGGTAAAAACGGTCACTCAAAGATTTTTACTTTTTCGAGGCACTTCATTATCATTTTGAAGCACAATTTGTTTTGGGCTTCAATATTGCATTATATCACAGATGCTGATAACACGTAGGGCCACGCATTTTAAATTTGGCATTGTAAAACAATATGCCTTTAAGCAATATATGTGCAAACAAATTGTTTAAACAAACAAAAGGAGACGCATGGTAGTAGAGTGATTCACAGGGGAAGTTCACCCTCTTATCAAGTCGGTTTGAGGAAAATCTGATGACGAATGAGATAGAAAAAAGTTGCACTCAATCAAATGAATAGTGACAACTAAGTGCTATACCTTTTAAGCACATCTTCAATTTGTCCTGCACTAAGAAAATAAATATATACTTTTCTTTCTTTTCTCAAAGGAAAGAGAAAAGGAAAGTATTCAACCATACATGCACCTAATTTACTAACCGCACTTTTTTTTCTTCTCACAAGTCCTTTTCTAAGAAAATGGAAGTTTATGAAATTTGAAGTGCAAAGCAACATAATAGCTAACTGCTAAGTTTATACTTTATAGTAATTGTCTTTCTGGCTCAAACATGCAAGGTGATGAATTTGTAAAGGATACAAGCAAATTCAGAGAGAGCCTCAACAATCTCTGCGTGTGTACCAAGAAGTCTTTTCCCTGATTTGAGGTCAACGGTCATCTTATCCATCTCAACAATAGGCCAGTCCATCTAGATTTGGTTTACAGTGATTTGGTTTCAAGAGAGAAAAAAAAAAGGAAAAAAATAGTTATATAATATGTACATGTACAATGTAGATAGTTAAAGAAAATTATTCAACAAATTATGATACCAATTCAATACATACAGGTTGTAATTGAAAAATTCTACTCAACACAGAATATATTGTCAAAAAAATATGTTTATTGTTTACTTTGAAAAAAGGAGCAAGCTTTTATGAAATTCACGAAGAGAAAATTATTTGCACCCAAAAATAAAAAACTGAAACCTCCCCCCCCCCCCCCCCCCCCCCGCAAAAAATATTTAACAACCATGTTGCAAAAGGCTTTGATACCAAAATCAAATGGAAATAGCCCTGTCCTTGGTTATATTGCCGAGCTTGATATCATCTCTACTTTGATTTTTATGAGGCCATTCAATTGTACTATAAACAAATATTTCAATGCTGACAGCAGGAAAAAAAACATAACTAATAATAACTATCAATTCAATATCCTTTAACCTAAGGCAGATCAACCTTAAACCTTCAAGTTGACTTCATATTTCTTGAATTTTATATAATTATAAAGCACATTCTATTTTCAAACATAATTTTTTCCTCAATATTTTGCAGGACCTTTTCTCGTCTTGTTGACTTAGCTTTAATTTTTTTTTGTCAACATAGATGTTGACAGCAGACCTCTTGACAAATGCCTTAGAAATATAATAGTACATCATTAACCAAACTTGACATGACATGTACCTGTAAATAAAAAAACAAAAAAATAAAAAAATAAGATCTTCAATAGGTATTTTGAATGATTTCAGTCTCCTGAGTATGTATAACTTCTCGTTACTTGTTAATATGATTGCAGGGCCCTCAGGGAGAACAGTATGAATAAGTGGTATTATTTACCGCTTTTTACTGGTATTTACCGCTTTTCACCAGGAAATACTGGGAAATATATTTTTTCACTCACTTGTTCATAGGGATTGTCCAATTTTGAACATAATAACAATGGTGGTGTCGTGAGTACCGGTATGGTTGCTCTGGTGTGTACTATTTGTGTATGTGTGTTGTACATGTATGTATGCATTGTGGATTTTATAAATCTGTTTGTGTGTTTCTACTACGAGTAATGGTCCTGCTAATTATTTCAGAACAATATTTTCAGTTGTTGAGGCTAAAAACAAGTAAAATCATTAATAAATAGATAATTCAAATCACATTTCCTGTTTTTTACATATTAACCGGACTCCCATTTTATTTACCAGACGGTAATTACCGGTATTTACCGCGGGTAATTACCGCCACCGGTATTTACCGATCAACCCTGCTGAAAACGCTGTCACGCATGGCAACCATTTTTGTCACGCATCAGAGCCAGACTGAATTTTTGTCACGCATCAATTAAGGCCAGACTGCGAAAAAAAGAAAAAAAAGTAGTAATTGCTACACTACCGGGCCTCAGCTAGCTCCTTGCAGGGTTCGTGTACGCATATCGCATGCACGTAGCATGCATGCAGGCCGGCTATCACGTCAGGTCACACGCGATTTCTAAACGTACACTATATATGCTACACGATATACCCTCACGGAAATGTCAGGCATGGCTGATCTTTGAACTTGGCATCTCTGATATCCCCGAAATTACCCCTATTCATTGTTGAATTTTTAACTTTCATGGGTACACAAAGTCAACATGAAGTGATACCACTGGCTACAAACCTACCCCATTTCTTTCCCTTTCCACCCATTCTTCAAAAGACTGGACAGGATACTTGAAGGAGTCTGCCTTGTTGCTTCTTTTAGAACTTGACATTGTCAACTCCGCAGCTTCCTGCTGCTGCTGTCCAACTCGTTTCTGGACAATAGAGCCTGAAAGAAAGATGAAGATGAAAAGAGAATGGAAATGAGTACTCAAACCTGTTGATGAACAAAGTTACATGCAGCATTTTGTTGCTGATCTCCAGCAAATGTGAAGAGAAAAGAAGAAGAAAAAAGTATTATGGTGTTCACACAAAATGTATAGGCCTACTGTAAAAAGAGTAAGCGTATGAAAAATAATTGTAACATCTCCACTCAGTTCTTGGTTGAAAGAAGAAGAAGAAGAAGAAGAGGAAATGGAAGAGGAAGAGGAAGAGGAAGAGGAACAGGAAGAGGAACAGGAACAGGAACAGGAGGAAGAGGAAGAGGAAGAGGAAGAGGAAGAGGAAGAGGAAGAAGAAGAGGGAGAGGAAGAGGAAGAGGAAGAGGAAGAGGAAGAGGAAGAGGAAGAGGAAGAAGAAAGAAGAAGAAGAAGAAGAAGAAGAAGAAGAAGAAGAAGAAGAAGAAGAAGAAGAAGAAGAAGAAGAAGAAGAAGAAGAAAGAAGAAGAAAGAAGAAAAGATAGAGAAGAAGAAATGAAAAAGGAGAAGAAAAGAAGAAGAAAAGAAAAACGAGAAGATGGAGAATAATTAGATCTACAACTAGACTCTAGACCTCACCTAAACTAGACTTCTAATTCTAAAGATAAGATTAAGAAGATGATCATCAGATGGAGGATGGAGAATGAAGAAGGTGGAAAATAAATAGAGGGTCTAGACTAGACTTTCTAGTCTAGATCTAGACCGAAAGCTTCAGTCTCTATACCGTCGGTTGTTCCACTGAGACTACGTCTGGCTCCACTAGACCTCCGGTTATAGAGACAGAACGACTGCCTATGCCAGCCTGTGTTGAACTTATTCCGCTAGATTTTAGCCGCTAGGCCCCTCCCACAAACTTGCCACGGCCGTATTGTTATGCCCCCAAAATCCCCCAAAATGTCATTTTACCTCGTCCATATCCAATTTTAAATTAGGCCTAGGCTATAATACATCGGTTCCACTTACTAATTTGATGGAAATAATCCGTTTAATGGTCCCTTTTAAGGAAATTATGGGTCAAAATCGACATCCATGTTGAAAATCTTGCAAGCCGTGTTAAACTCTCGTTGCCGTCAATCTCATCCCTTCTAGTCTACGCCGAAGGCAAAATGATTATGAAGGAAAAAACTGTGATAACGCCATTACGAACGTGTAGATGGCGCACAGTTTTTCCTTCATTATCATTTTGCCTTCGGCGTAGACTAGAAGGGATGAGATTGACGGCAGCGAGAGTTTAACGGACGGCTTGCAAGATTTTCAACATGGATGTCGATTTTGACCCATAATTTCCTTAAAAGGGACCATTAAACGGATTATTTACATCAAATTAGTAAGTGGAACCGATGTATATAGCCTAGGCCTAATTTAAAATTGGATATGGACGAGGTAAAATGACATTTTGGATTTTGGGGGCATAACAATACGGCCGTGGCAAGTTTGTGGGAGGGGCCTAGCGGCTAAAATCTAGCGGAATAAGTTCAACACAGGCTGGCATAGGCAGTCGTTCAGTCTCTATAACCGGAGGTCTAGTGGAGCCAGACGTAGTCTCAGTGGAACAACCGACGATTATAGAGACTGAAGCTTTCGGTCTAGTCTAGATCTAGATCTAGATTCTCTAGATCTAGACCTAAAGTTAATAAGAAGAAGAAGATGGAGAATAAATAATAAGAAGAAGATGGAGAACAAGACAATAAGAAAAAGAATTTAGGATGAGGAGTAGAAGAGAGGAAGGAAAAAAAAATCGAGCTCGAGCCGCCGCTGAGCTTCAAGGCCTGCCTATAGGCCCGGCCCGGGCGGGTATACGGTACTGTACGTCCTCGGCTCAGCCTCTCGCAAGCACTGCAGCTGATCTGACGTCTGAATTATTGCCAGCCGTAAATTCTAGCAAGTTAGCACAGACCCTACGTCCAACATAAATCTACAGCCCAACACGTTTATACCCACATTATTTCTATCATGTTGAATTCATCGTGATAAAAAGTATTTTGGTCTTGTTTATATTACCTAATTTCTTGTAGAGTTTATTGAGTTCTCGGAAAATCTCGACCCTTGACGACGCCGCGCCGATCAACGACAAAGTATGGAAAGCGCTAAACTAGTTCTTGCAATTAGTATAGAAAGCCAAAGTGCATGCATGCATGGAAGGGAAATAAACTCGACAATCGGTGCTCATATGGGGGGGGGGGGGGGGGGGGTGGTACTCACATATAAAGACAAACGGGGGTGAGCCGCTCTAACGGGTCACTTTTTCACACAAAAATCCCTAAACATGCATGGGTCCGTTTTTTCAAAATTTCAAAAAAAAATTGGGTTTTTGCATGGCAATTAAACACCCGAAATTTGTGAAAAATGGGCTTTACTTCGAAAAAAAATGACCCTTATAGGTTTCGAGGCTTGAGCGGCAGACCGTCCAAACCGAATCTGAATACCCACCCCCCCCCCCCCCCGGCCCCGGGGGTTCAATTTCCCAGTGGGCCGCCCCCCCCCCCCCCCCCCGGATCATGCCGCCACTGACTTTTAACACGCATACTAGTATTCCGATAACTTCTAAATAAAGGAGATGATGTATAAAGTCATCCTGATTTATCAATTTTGCGAGAAGTGAACAAGAGGGGGAAAAAACACTTTGTTGTATTTTTTTTTTGGATATAGATCTTAAAATACAATAAATAAATGTATTCGGGCGCCATATGCTACCCGAATCATGATGATAATCGGGCAAAGAGGTATATTCATGGACCTCGCTTCCTCAAAATAGCCAGGCAACTTTTGCGAGGGAGGGAAGAGCTGAGCGAGGTGAGTACACCACTTCTGAAATTGTATTTTCTTATCAAAATACCAAAAGTGATGTAAACATATTTATATATATATATATAAAAATATATATTATGTGCATGGGCATTTTGCGGTTTATTATACTTTGTTTTCATGAAGTTGACATTATTCCAAACCTAGGCCCTAGCTAGAATTCTCACGCGGCACTGAACACAGTCGTGAAACACGCTGTCAAATTTGAGGGAGCAGCATTCATTTGTCTAAGCCGCGGAAGGGGCGGATATAACCCTTGCCTCATTTAAGTGTGAACATTTTACATTTTACAAATTTGCTTTATCTTTCCGATTGGGTGTGCCCTGACGTACATGATTATAATACAAGAAATAGACGATTCAACTTTAACTTACCAGAAAGAGTAGGTGGTATTGGAAATTCGTTTTATTACAATGCCATAAAACATTGGAATTCCCTTCCCAATGGTGTAAAAGAAATAGGAAACTATGATCATTTTAAGAGGAAATTAAAGGAATACCTAATACTTGACAGACAGAGAAGAGAAGTGAATGACATGTTATATGATTGAAATTTTTATTCTTCTGTCGGTTCATACTTTTTCATGTTGTATATACTTATGTTTTCGTACGTTATAGAAATTCTACAAATTCATCATTATTTTCCTCTTCTTCTTTCTCCTCTTTTTCTTCTTCTCCTTCTTCTTTTTCTTCTTGTACTTAATATCATTTCTATCATCAGTTTAATGTTGTTATTATTATTATTATCTTTAATAAGTAGTTCTTTTAATTTTCTTATCTGTCTTTAAATATTACTATTTTAACTTATTAATTGTATACATGTCTGTAAGGGACCCCACTGGAAATAAGCTCTCGAGCTTTCGTGGGTTATCCTGTTCAAGCTGACTTATTTTTGATCTGTTATTATTGTATATTGTTGTATGTTGGAAGCTTGTCGAATAAAAATCAATCAATCAATCATCCCGTGCCCCCCCCCCCCCCCCCCCCGCCGTAGCTACGATACTGGGTATTTCTGATCAACAGAGATACATGGAGTCAGGGGCGGCGGAGCACCAATAAAAAAAGGGCACTTGCTGGAAAAAGGGGTACCTAGAAAAGGAAATCTGATAGCAAAAATATACAATATTTAAACATTGTTGTATACCCCTCCATTTTGATAAGATTATCAGTAATGATTTCAATGTTTGTTTATCTTTTTACATTTATTTATTTATGCATGTTCACAATTTCACAATTCATCGGAATTGACTAAATTCACGTGAAAAGAATATTATAACAATGTTTTATCAAAGACAAGTTGCATTTATATGTCTATTATACAGTTTAAAGAATAAACACACAAAGGTGATGAAGCATAGAGCTTGAATTGTTACAACACCTTTCAAATATTAAAGTATGACAAATAACATTCATAAAGGGTTGTGAACAAGAACACGAAAAAAAAAACTATATTGCTAAGTCTAGTAAAATGTCATAAGAGAATAAAATTAATGTTCGATATTATGAGAACTGATATATTATACAAATTATGATGCAATAGGCTTAGTAAATGAATCACACGTGACCGCGCATGACCAATCATTTGATTAGGATCTGGGAGTGAGTTGTATAAAATATTTATACTGATAATATGTAAGTAATATCTTACATCTGTGAAATGATAATGAGTGCTCCAAGATATTGCGTAGGCAATCATACTATGCAGTTTGGTGTCTGACGATCTGAATATTTATTTGCGAGCGAGGGAAGGGAGCAAATAAAAAAAAATATTGAGATTTATATGAGGTCACAGTATGTGCAACAAATTCGATGGGATTTAAAGCACAATCTAATCATGAAACAGGCGCGGATCCAGGATTTCTTGGGGGTGGAGCCCAATTTTTTTGTCCGCTCCCGAAAAGTTGAAAATCGCGCCGGCTGAAAATGCGATCATTTGGGGGGGGGGGGGCCTGGATCCGCCACTGTCATGAAAGACTGAAAAGATCTTTAATTAAAAAAACATAATTACATCAAATTTCAGTGAAAAAAAATTGGGAGCACATCATGCTGAAAGGAAAAGGGGCTCATATCCAAAGGAGAAATGGACACTAATTAGAAAAGAAAAGTGGCAGTCAAAGTAAATAGTGGAATTATCGGAGGTGAAAATGCGGCAGTTATCCAAAGGGAAAAGGGCACTTATTAGAAGAAAAAAATGGTGGTCAAAGTAAAAAGGGGAATTATCAGAGGTGAAAATTAATGAGGCACTTCTTGCACCTGATAATTAGGCGCACTCACCAGAAATGAAGAAAGGCAGAGAACAGAAAAAGGGCACTTCTTACAATGGAAATGGGCACTATCAGGAAAATGGCACTAATTAAAAAGGATGCAGGGTCGCATGTCATAACAAATGGGTCACTATTCGCAGATGAAACTATAGATGGCACTTATTACATATTTAAAGGGGTGCCTCTCAAATTTTAATAAAGGCACTCGTTGGAGATGAAAAGGGGCACTTGCCGAAATATAAGGGACCCCTTTGAGATATGAAAAGAGGCAATTATAAGAGGTGAAGGGGCACTTATTTGAAATGGTAAGGGGCACTTCTTGTACCTGGAAAGAGGCACTCACCTGATATTAATAAGGGCAATTGTGAGAATTAAAATGGGCACCTATATGAGATTTTAATAGAGACATCTATCAGAGGTGTCAGAATTAAGGGGCATTTATGAGTAGGACAAATTGCATTTATTAGAAAGAAAAAGGGGCACGTGTCAAATTAAAAAAGGGGCACTAATCTTATCAGAAGGGGAAGGGGAATTTATAACTAAAGAATAGGGCACTTGTTAAAGTTAAATGGGCACCTGTCAGATTTAAATGGAGGCAATTTTCAGAGGTGGAAATTAGGCACTTTTATTATAGGAAAATGCATTGAACGGGCAACTATTCGAAATAAAAATTGGCACTTATTTAAATAAAAAATAGGGGCACCTTTCCTATGTTAAAGGGGTACTTAATGGTAACTTATACAATAGGGGGAGAGTGCCCCCCCCCCCCGGGTTCGCCGCCTCTATTGCTGCATGCATGGAGCATAGTTCGTTTCTTTTATCAGCCTGTTCAAAAAGTAAATACTAGTGAACGTGCAAATCGAAAAGTCCCTACTATCCGGTTAACCGCCGGTCTGGTGCAGTGCGGTTACCTGATCGTATCCATAACAACAATAAGCTTTCTCTCGCATTTAAATTTGTTTCATCCACAATACTTTAAAAATGAGTGAAGCAACATCTTACAGATTTGAAAATAACATTGAAAACAAAAGTTTACAGAGAGCTCTGCATAGACAAAAGGAACGGATAAAGGTAAGGAGCTATTTGGAGTCTTTTGCTGTGTCTTTTAGTTGAGTTTAGCAAACGTTAGCTGCCCTCACTCAGTACAGTCCCATATCATTAAAAATGGTGTTCGTGTACCGGCGGTAGAGACATTCGTTTATGTGTGACTACTACTAGTGTGTGGATGTGGAGGAGGGAAAGGCAAGGGCAAGGCGCAGGGGGGGGGGGGGGGGGGTGCTTGTTCCTCCCCTTTTGGATCTGGATGTGTACGATGCAGGGCCCTATAGTACTGGGCATGAAACATCGGTAGAGAGAGAGGGCACGGCCGGGCGCGGGGGTAGATATTACTAGTCTAGGGTCTAGATCTACTGAGTACTGTCTGAAAGCTTCAGCGCTTCACGCGGGATGAGCGAAAATGAATTCAGACAAGGATTAAGAGTAATAATGTATTGAAGCGTGAAAAGCTTTGAGAAACGTTCAGCGGGGCCTGCATGTTAGAGTGGGGTGATTCAGATTTTTTTTGTCACCCCCCCCCCCCAAACGCTTTTGCTCATTTCGCCACTGTATAGTACTTAGTAGGTCTAGGTCTAGACTATAGACTGTATACACTGTAGTCTAGACCTTTTATAACAGTACTATATCTATATGTGACAAAACAGATGTTATTACTTTGCTGTTAAACAGATTTGTGTCCTTCCAAGTCAATATCGTTAATGTATAGGGTAGAGTACCCAGTATTCGGTCACTTAAGGGGAAATCACTAATATTTTGAATTCTTACCTCTTTCATTGGGCAATCTACCCATCAAAAGAAAAGAAATTTATTCCTCTAACAGGATTTTATAGTCACTGAAAATATAGAATAACGATAAGCAAAAGACTTCCGAAAGAAGACGGAGCATTTTTCTGCCCAGAATTCGGTCGCGCCGACTAGAATTCGGTCACGCGATTTGTGCGTGGTATCTCCGTTGCAAAGGAGCGTAGCGTATTTGCGCACTATTTTCACACAATTGCGCGATAAAGCACTGAATGTCAATGCGTTGACCGAATACTGGCTGAGCGATACCGCATGGCAAGGGTATCGTATAAATACCTCTTGCACATCAGCAAGTGCGTCATTTGCAAATTCGCTGCGATGGAGCGAACACGGAAGTGATTCTCTTCACACACATACTAAATTCATTGTGACAGCACTCGTAGTTGTTTCGCAATAGACTTCTACATATGGCTATGCATGTTAGCGCATGTGCTAAGAGAACGCGAAAGTGCGGAAAGTTGTGCGACACTGACCAATTTCGAGCTAAGTTGGAGATCTTTCCGGGGCCCTAAATCTGATTTAATTTTGAGAGTTAAGAAAAGTTGTTCAGCTGCCTGATTTGTGCAAGTTTCGTGGCTCATAAATTATTTTTTAAATTGTTACAGCTGTTGAAACGGCTGTCTGACCGAATACTGGGAATTGACCGAATACTGGGCGCGCTACCCTATTCATTGTTTATGTGTAATGCTGACAATGCTGTGTTACGTTAGATTCCAAATACAGCTAAACTGGGATGTCTGTGCAACGTGCCGGCAGAGTGACAGTGCATGAAATAATTTAAAACAGTGAATGATGTCATTTAAAATGTTTCTAGACTAGATTTTTCTATAAAAACACTTTGTATCATGTAAAGTTATTCTGTTCTTCTTCTCATTTCCCTTTTAGTATGATGAACTTATGGCAGCTCGAGAAGGTATTGTGAAGAAGTAAGTTCAAAGTAGACTCCTTTAGGCATCATTTGTATTTGATATTTTCAATGACTTCATTACAGGTAGATTTGTCGCACATTAATACCTCATGCAGTCACACCAACGAGATCGATGGACCCCAGCCTGACTACGTCCAGACCCAACAAAAAAATTACATTACCCCTAATAGTAATAGCCCAAAATCAGTTGGTGTGGAGTCGGTTTGGTAGTGGGACTGAAGTATTAGGTTCATTTAAAGATGAATTCAAACCTGAACCGCATGTTATTAAACTGATCCGCATGTTATTAAACTGATATACTGTACATGTCTATTTAGACAAGTATGCACAAAATTGATTTTCATTCATCAATCTTGAAGTAGTTGCGCCTTAATAGTGCAAATCAATGATGTGGTACTGCCTCTATGCCCTTAGGAGGGAGATGTAAAATCAAAGGTGTGTGCTGTAATTGAAAAATGGTTGCTCAGTAATGATGTTTTCCAAACAATTATGTTTTAAGGAGTGTTTTAAAGGGCATTGCAGGGATTTGCACAGTGAAAATGGTCAAAGTCAAAATGTTGTAAAAAGTCATAATTGAAAGTATGTGGCAAAATATTCATTTTTGGCAAAATTACCTTACTTTTTCTTTTCAAATTTGAATTTTGCAACTGGCAGTGTTTTATTCAGCCGATTGTTGTATACAAAACGAGGGTTTCATTCTTCGCTCCTACAGAGAGAACCGCAGAGTCATTTGATCTGAAATTTTGCAAATCTTTTCATGAACTTATATTGCTGCTACGGATACATTTTGTAATAGGTTTTAGGGGCCTTGCAAATCCCTGTTAGGGGTTTTAAACTTTCACATTGTGGATGATACCTTCGATCGAGAGGAGATGGTGTTGTAAAGTGCAGATGCAGCATGAGCAAATACTGCTCCCTGTAAAAAAAAAAAAAAAATTATACTATTCTTTATATTTATTTACTTCTTTATATTTGTTTTCCTTTCAGTGAACTTCTAATCAACCAGAAGGCAGTGTGGACAGAGAAGCTAGAAGAAGCCAGTGCACATAGGAGATTGAAAACAGAAAAATCCGCTGTTAAAGGCGAGATTGCCATTGCTGGCAAAACCCTCATTGCGGTAAATTCAGTCAATAATTATTGCTATTTATTCATTTGTTTATTTTTGTAAAGAAACACACAGCTATTTCCACTACCAGTATGCCCCATTTCACTCTTTCCAAAACCGTTAAAAGATTTCAAGACCCATTTACAAGAAGAGTACATTATTTTTATATTGTGTTTATATATTGTATACTTCATAAAAGAGTACTCATGGAGCTGTAAAGATCTGTGATATAATTTGTACTCAACACAACCCATTTGTAAAAACAATTTGTAAGGGCTGTTATTACTGTCTACACAGCAGATTTATAGTAATTCTCAGTGCTGTCTTTTTAATTCATTTTTTAATTTTTTTAAATAAACATGTACGTAATCAGTGTTGTATTTTGACTTGGGTTCTTGAAAAAGAGATATTGGTCCATGATATATGAGCTTTAATGTCCAGAAATGATTATTAGCACTATCAGTATTTGGATAGTAAACCCACCTACATCACTTTGAAGGCTTTTATGATGCAGGAGTGCCTGTTGATATACATGTAAGAGCTTATGATGGTATTATAGTAGAGTGTATTTGTCTATATTCATCTTTTAAAAAGAAAAGAAAAGAAGTTTGGTATGTGATCATTTGGTTACATTTTCCAAGAACAAATGGACCTAAACTTTGCTGTACAGTTTGTAGAATTCCATGTTCATACTTTCCCATGTTTATTTCCTTGTCAGATGGAATAGTGAAGTGGTTAGATATTACCATAACAAATATTAAAATATATATATATATATATATATATATCAATGATTTTCTTTTGTGTACCATTTACAGGTGCGAAGAGCAGCACTTCGACAGCTCATAGACCAAGAGTATGGCCAATTTGAGGAGGAACTTCGGGCGCAAGGAAAAGCTTTCTACTTTAAACGCGACTGAAAAGGATGCAATGAAAATATACAATGGACTATTTTGTTCTTGAGCCTACAGGGATCTTAGCGATATCCACGCCTCTTTTTCCTGAATGAGATAGAGCATATTTGATCAGTCGGCACGATGACTGAAATATTGTCGAAGTGAGTGCTTATGTGTCCCATATAAGCAAATCTTTTCAAATTAGTATTAACTGTATAACATATAGATGTATTACCGAAATTGTACCACTATATTCTTAAATTTTTGTATTAACTTGCACATTTGAATCACAGGAGGAAAATGTTTTGTCCCTTACCAAAGCATTTTGCATTGCATGTGCATAAAAATCCAGTGTCTTAGCCTTTTGCATATGTAAACGTGTGTTAAAGGAAACCAAAACCTTCATACTAAGTTACTTTTATTGTAAAGTTTAAAAGATTTGAATAAAATCAGTGAAAATTTGAACAAAATCGGGCAAGGAATAAGGAAGTAAGAGCTTTTTTAAATGACTAGTCACTAGAGGGCGGTATTCAATTTGATGACATCATCTGTGAACAACTCTCCATGCCTTTTGTACATAAAATTTCACAATTTTTTTGTTTTCTTCGTATTTATTTGTGTTCTTGATCCGACTTCATAACATGTGAAGTAGAATATCATTTTGCATTCTATATCTTGCTTTCGGGGGAGTACATTATCTCAATCACAAGAAAGAAGGACAAACATTAAATTTGATGTACAAAAGGCATGGAGAGTTGTTCACAGATGATGTCATCAAATTGAATACCGCCCTCTAGTGACTAGTCATTTCAAAAAGCTAGGCGTTGTGGCGTGCGCCTGTAATCCAGCTAAAAAGTGGAAGTTACAAACTAATTCAGCCGAGGACGCAGGTTCGAAACTGAGTCACGTCTTTCGGATGGTGACGTTTAAAGGTCGGTCCCAGACGTAAATAATCATATCTGATTGATACACGTCTGTAAAAACCCAATACACACACACACTCTTACTTCCTTATTCCTTGCCCGATTTTGTTCAAATTGTCACTGATATTTTTCAAATATCTTAAACTTTAAAAATAAAAGTAACTTAGTATGAAGGTTTTGGTTTCCTTTAACATACAATGTATTTACACATTCGAGCACCCCAGTTCATGCAATTTTGAAACTCATCCACGTACAATAAAAAAAAAACATGAGACAGTGTTTTTAAATTGCTTGGTCATCGGGGTAATTTTCCACAAAACAGGAAATTTTCTTGTCTGCTCAAACCTGTCCTAAAAGTATGATTAATCTATTACATGTATTATTCCACATTTGGTATGCTTGCAACTTTTAGACACTGTATTTTACCAGTCTTCATCAACGATGCGTATTATGGTCCTGTGCAGTATTTCACAGGTACAATACCTGTCAGTATTTTCAAATGTGGCTTACTTTTTAGAATATTTGTATGCATCATACAAAAGCTCAGATACAGATATATGCAATTATTTTACACCCCAATTCAGGGAAAAAATTAATATTTATTTTTCGGGGGCTACTTTTCAAGTTTGCCTGCATGAAAATAACATTCTAAAATTTGTTTTGCATTGAACTCTATGCAAGTTTATGGGGCTCGATCTTTTCTGATTTTCGGGGGCTAAATCGCCCCGAGCCCCCGTGTATTTTTTTCACTGCCCCGATTTGACCTTCCTTTTTTTCTTTTTCTATCCCAGTCGGATGTATCTGTTGTATCACCTAGCCTCTCAGGTTTCAATGATTGATCTTTCTACTTCTAAAGCTGAAGTGGGCAATTGAAGCTTGTCCTAGACAGACACAATATTCTAAATCAGTTGTTAGCACATGGTTAAACCGACCCCAAATGTCATTGTTTAAAACATGGAGAGGTCTCACTTTGGACATTTTAGAAATACATGTATCATTCCTTAAGTATTGAAGGTACTTCATGAATAGCTTTTTTTTTGTTTTTATGGTATACATATTTGAACATAAAATGCTTATGGTTTGAAGGTATATGCATGCCAAATTTACAGGAGTTTATAATATAACTTTCATTCTAGTGTAAATGGTATTTTATTCCATATTTCATAATTTGTGGATTACCCTACAGAGTCTCACAATATCCTGCACAGTGTTTCAAAAGAATGTGATATTTTGCACTTATTTTAGAGAATTACATATTTCAATATTTACGGTGGGGGGTAGGGGGGGGGGGGTGGACACCAACTTAATTTGTCATCACAGGTTTATATTATTGCTATTTGCTGTAAATTATTTTATACAATTTTATGTGAATATGTTAATAGGTGATTGCTAATAAATTATATTGTTAAACACATCCAGAGTTTATTAAAGTTTGTACCATGCTCTCCATGTCAATAATGTGACTGTATGAATGAGGGAGGGGGTGAGAGGGTACACGTCAATGTCCACTCTGAAATGGTAATTTACAGTGTGTTCTGATATTAATCTCTTCATTTATAAGTGTGTGAACATTAAAGGGATAGCTGAGTTCTTGTTTCAGACCGCGCATGCCTTCAAAGTGCATGGCTATTGCTCTTATGATTATCGGCATTGACTAGAATAAAACAAATAATGATTTTTTAAACGGCTGGTTCAAATTATCAAATATTTGTGGGGCACCACAAATATTATAAATCGTTATATTTATGGATATTTCAGTCGTGTCTGAACCGATTTTTAACTATCAAAGATGATTTGTCATTTAAGTCAGTTTTTCATTATCTCACAAAAAAATTATCTTGTGTAGCACCCTCTGCAACAAATTAAACTCAACTATCCCTTTAATACGATGAAAGCAAAAAATGGCGCAGGTTGTCCCTGTGTCCCTGTTTTAAGCTCTCGTCCTAGTCAAACTTCTTCAGAAATCATTCATATTTTGTTAGGTCACAAACATTTTTGTTATCCATTTTTTGTGTCATCTTATGCCAACATGATGTAATATCGGTACACTGTTGGTCATAAAGGTGGAATAATTATTTTTACCGCAATTTATGGAATCATTTTGACAAAGATTTATTCCTAATAGATCTTAATAATAGTATGCATTCTCAGATCTTATTGAATAATAGTTTGCGAGTGTTTGTTTTGCGTGACTGCTAAAAGCATATGTGAGCTACTATGCTAATCAACTAGGGGACCTCTGTCCTTAACCCTATGTTAACTGGGAGGGGGGGGGGGTCAATTTGACCAATCCTGTAGTAATTTCGCGACTACTCCGAAACCGCGGCAGATATTAAGTTTTCCTTTCATGACTTATTTATTTTTTTGTCTTCGCACGTCAGCCCGAAAATCTGTCATTTTTGTGATTTGTGTACAAAACATACGGAAATATCATTTTTCCTAAAAAGAGATAAAACATTGGTTGTTTAATCTTGTTTTGAAGTTCAGGTATTTGTTTTGGGGTCAAAATAGTAAAATTGTAGTTAGAAATGAAATAAAACAACAAAAACAATAAAATACATAAGTTAAAAAAAACAATGAGATACTTAAGAAATTATCAAAACAAGAGATAGCATAAGGAATAACCTGGCTCTTCTGATTTTTTTGTTGTTGTATTGTTATTCCAAATGGTTTAAAAAATATATGAAGTGAAAAAGAATGCTTAAATACGATTTATGGGTAAAATTGTGAATTTCATGACCTTATACCATGAATATGTAAATGAGTGAATTTTTCAAAAAAATTGAAGTTACCATAGTATTTTATACACTTCACTATATAGTTGTCCGATTTTACTCAATATTTTTGAGTGGACTTAACCTTTAAATTGAAATTTCCCATTACTGTCCTACCTTTTGGAAACATACAAATAAATATATAAATATATATATAGTATAATATACATAGTACCTCCTTTACTATTTAATTGGCGTATTTGTTTCAAAACTAGTTTCATGATCAATTGTCTAATTCTTTTAATTTATTTCTTTTTATCAATATGTTTATTCCGGATGCAGCTTTGTATGGAATTTGCAAAACCATTTTTCTGTATCCCACACATCCTTGTTTTTTTTTTTTTTTTACTGAATGTCTGTATTAATACAAAAACAATATACAGTGCGTCCCGAAAAAACGAAACCGAGAATTATTGATATTTTATCATAACTTATTATAATTAAATGACACATATTTGTAAAGCTTAGATCCTCCCCTTTCATTAGTTTGCAACTCATATGCATATTTCATGCATGAGTGATTTAAAACAATTTGTAGAGAGGGTACCAAAAAGTCATTTGGCGGGCGGTATCTGAATTTCAAAGAGAAAATCACATTTCTAGAAAGTTCATTTTCTGCCCTTTCATATGACACCTCTATCAGGAAAAATAAGCCAGGAATAACAAAGTTCTGTTTGTTTAAAGTGATGCTTGCATTTCCATAATTTGATTAAACGAATTTGTTTTCACTGGCTGCCAGCCGTAGCAACAAACAGAATTGACAACAGACTTAACTCCGTTTTATTGATAATCAGCCATGCATAAAGTCTTTCGTCTATGGCTGATCGTCAATGAAACGGAGTTAAGTCTTCCCTCTCCCTAAACGCTTCACTGAAAGTCGTTCACCACCCTAGGATTTTATGCTACTTGATATCCAGTATTCCTGAAGAAACATTACTCACAATCAAAAGCATGTTAAATTCATATATTCTTTTTAAAAGAACCTTTAATTGTACAAAGTTGTACATCCAGAAGTATGATTAAAGTAATCGTCCGATAAGCAAGATTTAGAACCTTAAAGGTATAGACCAGTTCTGGTCATGTGATTGCATTGTGAAAGAAACGTTGTTGAATCGATCAGAAAAGGTTGATCATTTAGCATATAAGTATTGGTGTGTAGGCCTACTGCAATTGATATGATAATTTACTAAATATATCAATCAGTGGGCGTTTTGGCCAAATTTGTATCATCACGTATTAGTCAAATCATATTCTTTCACATGATCGGTAATAAGAGCTTCCATTTCATTTTTTGAGAGGGGGCAATTCCAAAAGTGGTCTATACCTTTAACACCTACAAAATGTATATGAAATACAGATATGATTGTGCTGTAATTTTCTTTTATGAAAGAACACGAATTAAAAAGCACACAACAAAAAACAGAAAATAAAAACAAATCTAAAAGAAATAAACACTGTCAACATACATCTTTGAGATGTTATCAGGCTTTCAGTATAGAAGATAAAATATATACAATTCACCAAGTGGTAACAAGTGTCTTTTCTATTATTTAAACATTATTGTATGTGTACAAAAATTACATTCTTAATGAAAAAAAGAGAAATATTTCAAAGTTTCTTAGAGACAAGACATAAAAGCAGCTGCAAGACATTTTATAATCAATTCGTATTACACTTACAGTAAACAATTTCAGTATTATGGATGTAATCAATAAAATTACCATTTATAACAATAATAACAAATTAATATTTAATTTTTGTGTTTTTAATCCTTATCTACCATTTTCTCTTTTCTTTCCACTTTAGAGGCACAATAATTTATTGTCCCACAAAAAGAATTGCTATTTAGGATTACAGAAAGACCAAACAAAACGAAATTAGTTTTATTATGGAGAAAACAAGTTGCCATTCAGGAAAAGAAGGGAGGGATCTTTCTTCTTTTGGGCGATTATACGCAATGCATCTTTTGACATCCTGTGTATGATATAATATAATATACAAAATTCAATATTATCTTTTGAGACACACATGCAAACTATAAAAGAATTAGTTATCATTACGTACGTTTCATTACACAGATATAGTTGATAAGAACATTTTAATTTTGCATAATCTAATACAGCATTTTTCAACCTTTTTTAATCACGGCACCCTTTTGATAAATAAAAAGTTTTGCATCACCCCAAAGTTCAAATTCACTTCCAAAAGATTAATTTTTGTATCACTCTGACACTTGTCACATGCCACGTACACATGAGGAAATTTGTTTCTAAATTTTGCAGAGAAAGCGAATTGAGCGAGCAAATTAAATAATGACACTTTTAATATGAAGGCAAAATTATATTATAATCAAAACACTAGATAAAATATCAAATTAAGTGTATGCGGGGACCTTGCTGCCAATACATGAATACAAAAAAAAATCACTGTATGCGGTCAGTTCGACGCACAAATACGAGGATATTCAGGCATCTCATTGCCCAGGAATATCCTGTTTCTAAATATTGCCTAGACAGTACTTATTTGGGCATCTCACTGTGGAATAGAAACCTCGTTGCTTTACTATTGAGGTACTCAGGCATTTTCTACTAGAAATCATATTTAAAAGCTGGGAGCAAGGAAGTAAATGAGAAGGAAACTTTAAAATCTTTTAAATGCCATTTCCTCACTAAAAAATACATAATTTAGCGGTTTCTAATATTTGATTTTCATCAATAGAGGTTATTCCAAAAAAGTATTAAACAAATATATTACTCAAATCATCTCGCGGCACCCTTAGTGATGTCTGACGGCACCCCAGTGTGCTGCTGCAACCCGGTTGAAAAACGCTGATCTAATAAATGTACTAAACTAGATACACAGATGAAGGATTTTACGAAACAAAGCATACACTTATATATTTATCCCACTTTTCATAATTATCTGTTAATGGTATTGCCAGAAAAAAGGACAATTCCAAATCACTACCATGCTGATCTAATAAATGAACTAAACTAGATACACAGATGAAGGATTTTACAAAACAAAGCATACACTGATATATTTATCCCACTTTTCATAATCATCTGTTAATGGTATTGCCAGAAAAAAAGCACAATTCCAAATCACTGCCATGCTGATCTAATAAATGAATCAAACTAGATACACAGATAGAGGATTTTACAAAACAAAGCATACACTGATATATTTATCCCACTTTTCATAATCATCTGTTAATGGTATTGCCAGAAAAAAGCACAGTTCCAAATCACTACCATGCTGATCTAATAAATGAACCAAACTAGATACACAGATGAAGGATTTTACAAAACAAAGCATACACTGATATATTTATCCCACTTTTCATAATCATCTGTTAATGGTATTGCCAGAAAAAAAACACAATTCGAAATCACTACCATGCTGATCTAATAAATGAACCAAACTAGATACACAGATAGAGGATTTTACAAAACAAAGCATACTGATATATTTATCCCACTTTTCAAATTAATCTATTAATGATATTGCCAGAAGAAAGGACAATTCCAAATCACTGCCATGCTGATCTAATAATTGAACTAAACTAGATATACAGACCAATGATTTTACAAAACAAAGTGTACTATATATAATAATTAATTTTTTTGTGATCATCTGTTAATGGAATTGCCAGATAAAGAACAATTCCAAATCACTGCCATGATCAAGTATCATACATAATATTTAAAATCTATTGAAATCGCATATCTTGACTAGGATTATAACATATACAACAGAGAAATATTACCTTCCAATTATATACATTCCAAGTACATAAATGCACTTACATATGATGGTATTAAACCTTTTAAAAGTATGCACATACATGTACTTTTATACCACATCAAACAATTGATACATTATACAGTTATTGACTGGCAGGGGGTGTAATATAACCTTATTTGGACTGCTAAAGGGAGTTATATTTCCAAAGTGGTTATATTTTCCCAAAGCGCACAGCGCTGAGGGAAAATATGGTCATGAGGGAAAATATAACCCCCTTCAGGTCCAAAGAATTTTATATACCCCCTGCCAGTCAATAACTGTTATATTAGATAGCCTTGGTTTGATTTTAATTCAAGAAAAAAAAAGGAAAAAAAACCTTAACAAGTTTATGAAAACCGTTCGGTGAACGGTTTTCAAAATTGTAATTCCAATCATAAATATCTTGATAATCAGACAGGCGATCGGCTTGTAAAAGTCATGATGGAGTTCCTGACTGACCTAAAGGTTTATAATTGTCATTGCAGCATGAGCTAAATCAAGGATTATTTCTAAAGGATCTAAGACAAAGTTACCGGATCCCTTTAAACAGGTGATTTCCAGACGGGATAACTTTTAATGGTATTAATGATAATCACTTAAACCCCAAATATGAAGTTTGATATTCCTGCCAATGATTATGATGAATGTAAGAAAGACAATTTTTTCTTCTGGAGATTGCATATGATAAGAAGGACCGATTCAGACATTCAGACCCTAATATACAATGGCAAAATGTTTGGAAACTCCACCCTAGGCATTTACATGTATTACATGTACAACTAACATTACTGAATTATTCATACCGGTACTTCTGGTAAAATTGAATTTTTGTTGTTGTTGTTATTGTTGTTGTTGTTGTTGTTGTTTGTTTGTTTGTTTTTGTTTTTTTGTAACTCAAGAATGAAAGGTCGACTGGTTGAATTAGAGCATGCTTGATAGATGTAAACGTTAACATGTCATATTGGGACAAATCAATATTTCACACTCATTTTCTTTAAAACTTGGTAAAAACATGAATAATTTAGTTGTAAACTGTACATGGGAATGCATGTACACCAGGGCTGTATCAACAAGACCAAGTGTCGGAGAGCAGACAAATTTCCCCAGCAGTTTGTATACTAAACCTTTTATTTCAGTTTTTTTTTAAAAGAGAAGAAGATTAATACAGCCCAAGATGCAAATTAGAACCACTCTTCATTCACATTTCACTGCAAGAGTGAGTTGTAATGAGTTGACTTGAAAACTTGCTACAGAGTATTTTGACGCTTTCGCAGCACAGAGCTTACAAACACCCTGGAGAACTGGCAGCTGGGCAGGTATCCTTAATTCCATCAGTGCAATTCTGTGAGAAAAACATAAAAAAGCTTTCCTTATAAAATACATGTACGTGTATGTCATGCACCATGAAACTTTCTTGGATTGTTTAAAAGTTGACGTAAGTTTTCATTGCAACTAATTTATGTGAATTGCACAAATTTTGAATCACAATTATTCTATTTTGCGGCTATCGCAAACTTTTGCAAACCCGATCTGGACCAGATCGATCAATCAATCAATAATTCTCTTTATTAAAACAAAATGCATTGCAGCCATTGCCTGACTTTGGCTTTTTTAAAAACTTTGTACTGAAATATCATATAAAGCAACCAAGATGACATATGTGTTTATATGGTTGTTCACAATACATAAGACTTCATTTTCAAACAGCGTATTAAAGTCAATCTAAAAAATCTGTATATGTATATCACTTTTATCTTGTATGTCTAAAAAAAATCTTTAGATATTGCTATTACTAGTTTTGAGAATAAAACATGTATAAAGATATATGGATGCTGATTGATTGCCGGTTTCTTTGCATTCAATGGTATGTCGAGAGAAATGTGAGAAAAACATAACAAAGGTTTACTTATAAAAAACATGTACCTCTATGTCATTTCATGCACAAATTACTCAGTTTTTTCATCAACCTTCAACAATCTTACCGTTCACTTAAACCAAAATGTGATTACGACCCTGCAATGATGCATTGCTGGTTAAAGCAGAATGTAATCACTGTTTGCTTGTTAGACTATTTTTTCAATTCCCATGAGGAATAATTTGACATACTTTATATGTAGCAGCCATGTAATATGAGAAAAATACTTTCTAAGCATTCTTACACCTATTACTCAAAAGTAAAAATGAAAAATTTGATGGGCTGGAAGAGTACTTACGAGACCAAATGCACACACACACATACATATTCCAGTCTTTGTGGGTTTTATTGAAACATGTGATTTTCAAGTAGACTATAGTTAATCAATTTTGATAGAAAATACATGTAAAATATTATTGTCTATAAAAACCCTTGCAATACTTGAACATTGCCATTACGCAATTCAATATGATGAAAAATTGAGGTTGGAACATTATTTATAGGCAGGGTGGCCCATTAGCAGGCCCCAACAAATGAAAACTTTAGAATATAATCAGCATTTTGAAGTGAATATTGACTAAGAATCTTCAAAAGAATCATTTACTATTATTTGTACCACTACCAGGATCGATAACTTTAATGAAATATGAACAAATAACAAAAATTGATTTATTAATACTCATATTAAGTTGTGAAAACATAATCTTAGTCTGACCTAAAATGACCTTTGACCTTGACTTTGTGACCTGGAATTTGTGTCATGTGATTAGTGATACTTGATAACCCTTGGGAACAAGTTTCATGAAATTTGAACAAACACTTTGGAAATTAAGCTAAAAATTCAAAATCCTGATGTTGATGCCACATCAAAGTCTAAGTTTGCAGACCTGAAATGAAATTTGACCTTGAATTTTTCACCTAAAAGACTAATCACATGATTGGTGATACTTGATGACCCTTATGTTCAATTTTCATGAAATAGGAATGCATACTTTCAAAAGGATGATAATAATTCAAAATCTTACCCTTTGGTTAGATTTTGATGTTGATGCCACAACATAGTCAAAGTTTGTTGACCTGAAATGACCTTTGACCTTGACTTTGTGACCTGAAATTCTACTCACATAATTAGGGATACTTTATAACCCCTATGTTTAAGTTTAATGGAATAGGAGTGTATACTTTCATAATTATGTTAACAATTCAAAATCTTAACCTTTGGTTAAGTTACAGATGTTGATGCCACAACATAGTCAAAGTGTGTTGACCTGAAATGACCTTTGTCCTTGGGGCTGTAATGCTGGTCATATTGGACAAATCCAAAATGGCCGCCATCTGTGCTAAAGATCAAGTGTAGTTTCAAAAGGAGTAGGGGTAGTATGATGAAAATTTATATATATGGGGTTTATAGGGTCAGAAAATCTGATTATCATGTTCTTTTATCAATGTGAGGTCTCCTTGGGGCTGTAAAGACGGTCATAATGGTCAAATCCAAAATGGCCGCCATCTGAGCTAAAGATCAAGTGTAGTTTCAAAAGGAAAAGGGCTATGATAAAAGTTTATATATTAACAGCGTTTTCGGGGTCGAATAATCTGATTATGATGATTCTTGTATCAATTTGATGTCACCATCCTATCCTAAGACTACAATGAAGTCCATTTCCTGCTCGAAGAAGGGGAGGGAGGATGCGCCAAAACACAATTGAGTGGGTTAATGATGACACCGTATTTCGAGAGTCGGAAGAAGAGTAGCTCGTTGGAGGTGTTGAATATGTTCCTCTTGTGTCTCGCTCGCAATGAGGAGGTCGTCGATGTAGGCATAACAAATTAGTAGACCACAGGTTTCCTCATCAATGAACCGTTGAAAAGTCTGTGCGCCATTTCGTAACTAAAAAGGCATGCGCACAAATTCAAATAATCCAAAGGGTGTGGTGATGGCTGTTTTGTGTACCGTACATGAATTTGGTGGAACAATCTGATGAGAACAAGTGTGGAGAAAACTTGCTTGCCTGCTAGAGCTGAGGTGAAATCTTAAAGATGGGAAATAGGAAATTTATCGCGCACTGTATTCCTATTTAGTGCATAGTAGACACCGCTAGATCTCCAGTCTCCAGTCTCCAGGGTTTTTCTTGGGCACCATATGAAATGGGGAGGCCCAATTGCTGCCAGAAGGTCGGACAATATCTAATTCTCGCATGTGGTAGAATTTAGATCGGGCAATGCTGTACCTAACGGTTGCTAAGCGATGAGGACGGGCTGATACAGGAAGGCCTCTGGTCTCGATGTGATGTACGACAGAGTGTTTGATTTCTGCCTCCTCATAAACTGGGAATGTGATGTCTGGAAATCGGTCAAGAAGAGACTTATGAGCAGCTTGACTGTTTGTCTTGACAAACATAGTGCTGATAGAAGGAGAAGAAGAAAGGACCCCTCTCACATATAGATTAGTAGTAGAATCGATGAGCTTGAGATTGCACGATAACCAAAGTGATGAAGAAAGTCTGCCCCGATGATAAGAGCGCTGAACTGCTTGCAGGTGAAATTTCGAAGGGTGATGTTTCCCAGATTTTGATGGAGGAATAAAAATGCTTACTTCAGCTCCAGTATCTACAAGAATTCTAATTTGTGTTTTCCAATCCGTAATATAGAAAAGGCGACTATTGTGGGTGGTAGCAGTGGGACTTTTTGCTGCTAGTCGCTGGCTGGGTCATTTCCCTGGTTTGAAGAAGATTTGAACGTGCAGGGAGGAGTACATTTCTTGGCCTCGCTAACAAACCCCCAGTGAGAATAGCAATCCCCTCCATCATGGCGTTGTGAGCTGGGGCTTTGCGCTTGACGGTCTTGCTTCTGATGTGATATTTGCGCTTACATTTCCTGCATTTCCAGGAAAGGAGTAGGATGTGATCGAAGAAGAAGGAGAAGAAGCAGAAGAAGAGGAAGAAAATCAGATGGAGAATTTGTCTCAATGATTTTATAGGCTAAATCAACGAGTTTCTCAATCTCCATTGAGTTTCAAGTTGATACTAAGATGAGCTGAACATTATGTTGTGGGCAGCCTCTGGAGAAATAGCTCTTTCAGAATGTTCTCCTCCAACTTGTTCGTCCAGAGCAGTTTTTCATCTTGCAAAGTAACTGGGCAGGTTTGCAATATCTCAACTCTTCATAAATTAGCACCCGATGAAAACGTGTTTGCTCAGAGGCGGAGGTCCTCTGTACCAATTCAGTTTTCAGTTTAACGTAGGGCTGTTCCTGAGGAGGAGAGATCAGTAAGTCCGAAATTTCCTGGGTAGACTCCGGCTGCAAGGAGGCGACAACGTAGACAAACTTTGTTTTATGTTGGGTGATGCCTCGGGTCATAAATTCTGCCTGGAATTGGGCAAACCAAATGGTAGGATCATTGGGCCAGAAAGGAGGAATTTTGTGTTGAACATTGGAGACAGATGAAGGTTTGCACAAGTTTCAGAAGTTGAAATATGAAGGAAAGGGAGACAATAATTGAAACAGTTTTGATGAAGGATGTCTGTCACTCGGCACGTTGGTCGTGTTTAGATCACATCGGGGCACCAGTGAAAGGATGCTCTGCAAATGCCAGGGCAGTAGAAAAGTGACAGCAACGACTAGTAGAACATAATGCTGAAATGTACGGGTGCAGGCCAAGATTTATACATATATCGAGAGCACTTTTGTGCCGAGTTGAGCTTACCGACTGTATAACTGGACACTAACCATGACAGTAATCACTTCTAACCAAAGATTCCATATTGGAGAGCCTACCTTGCCTTTTTATCTTTACTTGTTGTGCCCACTTAAACTTACTGATTAAATAACTGAACACAAACCATGACAGTAATCACTTCTGACCAAGTGACCAAAGATTACATATTGGAAAGCCTTCCTTCCTTTTCTATATTTATTTGTAGTGACCAGTTGAACTTGCCGATTGAATTACTGGAAACAAACTATGACAGTAATCACTTCAAACCAAAGATTGAATATTGGAAAGCCTGCCTTGCTTTTTGTATTTGTCTCTTTAAACACAACAGCTGTGTAACTGTAACTATTTTCACCCAACATAGGAATAGATGAACAATATGGAATAGACGAATCAAGCAAATTATGATTCTTTTGGAGGGACACCACTCATGAATACCATAACTGAGTCTGTAAGCCGACCGTAATCAAAAGGGTTGTTTTTTAACATACATTTTAGGATTTTATGGAAAAATAATAAAAATAAAACCCAGGTAAAATGACATTCAAGGATCTGAATTACCGGTATATAACTACTGAGAAAAAAAATTAGAAGTACAACTCACATCAAATAAGTAATAGAGAAATAAACCCTCATAATTATTAAGCACTTAAAACGGCAGTTCATAAACAGAGCATCAATGTTCATGCCACAAACTAATTATTGTTGAAGCCAT